GACAGCACCGTCGCCATCGCGCCGCCGCGCTTCTGCCGTCACTTCCGCTTCCGCCGCGCGCCCCGCCCCGCCGGCCGCGGCGTTCCGCGCGCGCTTCCGGTACGCGGGGCGGAAGCGGCGGCGAGAGGCTCAGAGCGGCGGCGTGCGACGGCGGCGGGCCATGGGGCCGTGGCCCGGCTAGCCGGGCGCGGCGATGTCGGGCTACGCGCGCCGCCCTGGCGCGCCCCCGCTGTCCCGGGCCCGGAGTCTCGTCGTTCCCGACGGTGAGGGGCCTCGGGGCCGGGACCCGGGGCTGGGGGGCCGGGGCCGGGGCCGGGGCCGGGGCCGGGGCGGCCCGCGGTGAAGCCGCTGTCGTTGTCGCTTACAGCTCCTGCGTTCTATGAGCGCCGGTCTTGTCTCCCCCAGCTAGACTGTGAGCGCCCCCATTTCGGGGACCTGCACCCCCACTTCTTCGGCATTCGGCCGACGTTTATGTGCTATGTGCCCAGCCCGGTGCTGGCGTCCGTGGGAGACACAGGTGAGAGTCGGGGCGCCGACTGCCCGGTGGCCCCAGCAGAGTGCCGGGCACTGTGCCCAGGCGGAGGACGGGGCGCCGTCCCGCTCAAGTCTGGTCTTGGGGAGCCTCTCTCCCGCAGCCAGCCCCAGCGCAGCACGGAGGCCGCCGGTGCGGGTGAGGCCCCCGAGCCCTCGTCCTGCAGGAGAGCTGGAAAGAGCCGGAGCTATGTCTGGCTGCAGGTTCACTCCATCTCTTCCACCCAGGCAACTACACTGGCAGCCAGCGGTGCAGGCGTGTGTAGGTGGTGAGGTCAAGGTCTGGGCACTTAAGAGGAGCACTGTGGACAGACCCGCTGTGTTCACACATAGACACACGCTCGGGGACCAGAATCCACTGGGAGGCAGGTCACCTGTAAGGTTCGGAGCCCTGGTCCTGCCCCTCAAGTACACCAGTCAGTGAGAATCACTGCAGGGAAGAGGCTCCATGTCCCTGGACAAACTGCAGTCCTAAAGCTTCCTGTGATCATGGGAGGGTTATGATGTTTCTTTTCAGATTTTGGCTATGGAAAGGGGAAATGTACTAAGCAAGGTCCATCAGGAGCCCACGAGACATGTTTTGGAGGTACAGTAGCTCAGCTGTCCTTTCTTTTTTCTCTCCATTCACCACACAGTGCTGGGCATGTGTTTGGTTAGGGGGCTGTTGGTTTGACAGGATATGAGTGTACCTGGAGCCCAAAATGTAGAATTCCAGGGATTTACCTTGTCCTTGGAGCAGGAGAAGGGTGCAAGGGCAGGAGAACCTAAGAGGAGGGGTTGTCCAGGAGGTGGGAAGTCCCATATGAGGAACTGGCAGGGCAGGGATAACAAGAGCCCACTTTACACAGACCGGCACCTAGAAAAAGCTCTGACAGTGGGCGGGCCACAGGACTTAAGTGTGGTTAGGTGTGGGAACTTGGGTAAGGCCAGACTGGTTTGCCAGATTACCTGGGTAAAGTCAGAGGGATTGAGGCAGGGCATTTCCAGAACTTTGCAGCACCTAAGTGGTAGAGTGGAGGCAGCCACATCTGTGGTAAAGACCCCCAGGGGAATCTGGGGTGTAGCTCAGTGATAGACTGCCTAACCCTGTGAGGCCCTACATTACATCCCTAGCACTGGGAGAAAGGTTTCCTGAGATTTCTTTGGGAACTGAGGAGTGAGGAATGGAGAGGAGAGAAGCAGCCAGGGTGCAGCAGATCTGCTTTACTGCCCTCTTTGCAGGCAGCTTTCTTGTTTCCTGGTGTCAACTGAGTCATGGTGAAATGCTGAGGGTGGCATTCCCAAGTAGATATGACTGGACTCTGGAAAATGAATGGGAAAGTCCCCTTTAACTATATTGTGTGTTATTTTAGATGACAAACTTGAAGATCTTGAAGAAGCAAATCCATTCTCCTTTAAAGAGTTCCTGAAAACCAAGAACCTTGGCCTTTCAAAAGAGGACACAACCAACAGTAGAATTTACCCAAAGGTATATCTGAGTTGTCATGATTGCTTTAGAAGGCATCTCTTCTAACGTGTTGGACTCAGATGTACAAGTGTGTGGGGCAAAGTGAGGCAGCTCTTTCTGTTACTCTGATTGGAAAAGCTCTTTGGAGTTGAGCACCTCAGCTGTTTGGCCCCTTTTGGTGGACAAAATGGGCCTTTCTTTATGTTCCAGGCTGAGCATAGAGAAAGTAGGGTGAGCAGTGGCTTCTGGATCACAGCATTTGCCTGCAATGTTTTCAGGAAGCCTCAAGGCACCCACTGGGACTGGACCACAACTCCCCCACTCCCCAGACTGTGGGGTATGGCCTGGAATATCAGCAGCCGTTTTTCGAAGACCCGACAGGGGCTGGTGACCTCCTAGACGAGGAAGAAGACGAGGATGATGGGTGGAATGGAGCCTATCTGCCATCTGCGGTGGAGCAAACTCACTCATCCAGAGCCACAGCCAGCACATCGCCCTGCGGCACATACCTTTCCTTTTTCTCCACCCCTTCGGAACTGGTGGGGCCCGAGTCTCTGCCCCCATGGACACTGAATGACACAGACTCACATGTCTCTCCACCTTCTCCAGCAGAGAGTCCCAACGCGGACTTTGTGGCCCATGGAGAGTCCTTGGGAGACAGACACCTGCGGACGCTGCAGATAAGTTACGAAGCAGTAAGTGAGTGCTGTATGGTGCCAGGCATGGAGTACAGCTCTGAGTAGTGTTCTGGAGAAAAACAGGAGCCATCCTGCTTGGGTGGCCTGGGCTTGGCTCCATGGACAAGACCGTTGGTCACGTAACAACCTGCTAAGAATTTCCCTGTGGAGCGGGTTGGAAGTGTAGCTCAATGACAGAGCATCGCCCAGCATTCAGGAGACCCTGGGTTCAATCCCTGGCACTGAAAAGAAAAGAGAATTTCCCCAAAGAGAGCACTCCCCTTGGGCTGGTTTTGGTTAGGTAGTGAAGCACCAGGGGTTGGAAGGTACAGTCATCTTGATGTGGACTGGTATTGAGGGCTACACACTTAGAGGAGGCTCCATGGGCTTCGGGACATCTTGCTGAGCATCCACCATGAAGGAGAATTTTAAGTTGACAATCCCCTAGAAACTTACAAACTCTGAGTAGAGTTGGAGTCTATCTGTGGCCACAGGTCACTGTTTATAAGTGTGCTTTAGGTTGATTGCATAAACCTGGGATAGTTCTGTGTATCAAGAACTTCCGGTCAGGCACGGTGACTCATGCCTGTAATCCCAGCTAGTTGGGAGGTAGAATCAGGAGGATCAAGGTTTGAGGCCAGCCTGGGCAAAAAGTTAACCAGATGCCTATCTCAATGAATAAGCCAAGTAGTGTGGTGTATATCTCTAATCTCAGCTATGTGGGAGGCCTTAGTTAGGATCGTGGTCTGAGGCTGGCATGGGCAAATACGTGCAAAATAACTAAAGCAAAAAAGGCTAGAGGTGTGGTTCAAGTGGTAGAGCACTTGCCAAACAAACAGAAAGCCCTAAATTGAAACCTAGTATCTCCAAAAATGAAAGTTGTAGGGTTGGGGTGGGGCTCAGTGGTAAAGCGCTTGTCTAGCATGTGCAAGGCCCTGGGTTCCATCCTCAGTACCACATGAGAAAAGTTCCAGAGCTGGAGTATATACCTCTTTTGATGAGATTTATTGGGTTTCTAATCAGAATTTTCTTTCTCTACAGCTGAAAGATGAAAATTCTAAGCTAAGAAGAAAGCTGAATGAAGTTCAGAGCTTCTCTGAAACTCAAACAGAAATGTATGTAAGCTTTTAGTTAGGGGTCAACTCTCTCCTACCATTCAGGGAAACTTTTTTCTAAGTGATGGTGAGCTGCACTGAGTCTGAGTGTTGCCACACGTAAATCTTTAGCATCAGGCCAGGCACCGGTGGCTCATGCCTATAATCCTAGCTACTCAAGAGACAGAGATCAGGAAGATCACAGTTCGAGGCCATCCCAGGCAAAAAGTGAGACCCTATCTCAAAAATACCCAACACAAAAAAGGGCTGGTGGAGGGGCTCAAGTGGTAAAGTGCTTGCCTCAAAAGAGTGAGGCCCTGAGTTCAAATCCCAATGCCACCAAAAAACAATCTTTAGCATCAACACATTTCTTGTATTCTGAGTAAAGTTTTTAAGCAGCAGACTCAAGTCAGCCCAGCATTTTTTGAATCAGCGGAACATGGGACAGTTTCCCATGCCTTCTGTTGGGAACACAGCACCTTGTGCCAAGAGATCTTGCTGTCTTGCTTCTGCCTGAGCATCATGTTCTCACCTTGGGTTCTTCATGGTTTTTATCCAACTAACCAAGTTTTGGTGCTCTTACAAGTTTTCTTGAAGCTGGGCACTTGTAATCCTAGCTACTTCAGAGGCTGAGGTGGGCAGGATTGAGGTCCAAGGCCAACCTGGACAAATAGATCCCATCTCCAAAATAACCAGAACAAAATGGACTAGAGATGTGGCTTAAACAGTAGAGAAGCCTTGAATTCCAACCCCAGTCCCACCAAAAAAAAGGTGTTCTTGAAAGCATTGGGGTGAACTCAACTCGGCATTTCCTTTACCAAGGGTGAGGACACTTGAGCGGAAGTTGGAGGCAAAGATGATCAAGGAGGAGAGTGACTTCCATGACCTGGAGTCTGTGGTCCAGCAAGTAGAGCAGAACCTCGAGCTGATGACTGTACGAAGGGGCTCTCTTCTGGGGTAGCTAGCTGGGTGGGGCAGGAGGCTGCCGAGAGGGGCACTTGCATTCACTAGACCCTCAGCTCAGGCAGGCCACCCTCACAGTGCCAACTGTGTGGCTGTCCTGTCTGGTGGACCAGCATGCCTTGACGTTGTGGGCACGCTTTTGCACTGGGATGGGTGGTCCTAAGGCTGTTGGGGACAGGGACAGGTTCCTCATCAGTGGCTCTAGCAATGGAGGAGGGCTGGGCAGAGAAGCCAGGAAGAGTCACATAGCTCACTGACTTCTCCATCAGGGCAGGGGTCCTGTACTGATGCTGTGCTGTCTGTGATGCTTTCTGTGTTTATTTTTTGGGCAACAGAAACGCGCTGTAAAGGCAGAAAATCATGTCATAAAGCTCAAACGGGAAATAAACTTGCTCCAGGTAATTAGAGAAAAGCTTTTAACTGTTTCTTTTCATCTGTGAAGTCTCATAAGTGTGAATTCAAGAAAAAAAACATGTGAGTCAGGCCTCGTGGTACATGCCTGTAATCCCAGCTACTTGGGAGGTTGAAGCAGGAGGATTGGCAAGTTCAAGCCAGCCTGGACAACTTGGCAAGACCCTATCTCAAAATAAAATTTAAAAAGGTGGCAGAGGGGGTGGGGGATTTAGCTCAGTGGCTGAACCAAGCACTTGCACAAAGTCCTGGATCCAATCCCCAATACTCCAAAAAATAAATAAATATGTTGTAGAAAACATTACAGACAGTATGACCAGCAAGATTAAGACTCAAACCCAGGTGGCTGGAGGAAAGGAAGGTTTATTGCACTAGCGGGCCAGCACCTGGATATCTCCAAAATGGCACAGGCCCCGAGCTCAGGGTGGTTGAGGTTTTTATACTGAGGAAAGCAGCAGTAAGCAAGCAAGCAGGGAGTGAAGAAGCAGACTTGGCAGTTAGCTGTTCAAGATTACAATATATCATGTCAGCACAGCTGCAGACGAAGGACATCCGAAGTTTCTAACAAGATAGCTGGATGTAGGGGCCCTGGCTAAAGGGAAGGGCTTTACTTGTCTTTATTTTCCCAGCTTTGATCTTTCTCTGGGTTTCCTTATCAAATACTTTCTGTTGAGTTTGTCCTATGTCCCCAGCAGACAAAAGATCTTAAAATCGGGATGGCAAAGTCTTTCTACTTGGGCCTGAAATAAAGGGAAGCTGTGGTATCCTTTTCCTGTTTGTTTGGATGTTTAGTATCTAGGTGGGGTGTGTTCTTGCAAAACTCCCCATTGCTTAGAGCCAGATAGCCAGGATGTACTGGAGTTGAGGGGAAAGTTGGGCTCAGTCTCTCTTAGAGCATCTGCCATTGTGATTTGGCCAGATCCTATGGACAAGGCTGTGCTCTCCTAGGGTGATGCTTCTGTTTTCACTTAGATTGCCTTGTGATGCTCACATTCTTCCTTATTCCCCCAAGGCACAGGTCTCCAACTTCAAGCGAGAGAATGAAGCCCTGCGGTCGGGCCAGGGTGCCAGCCTGACAGTGGTGAAGCAGAACACCGACGTGGCCTTACAGAACCTCCGTGTGGTCATGAACAGTGCACACACATCCATAAAGTGAGTGCCGGGGGGCTGGAAGCCTTGCTGTAGGTGGGGGTAGCATGCTGTTTGGGGTGGTGCCTGAATCTGCAGTCCGTGGACTAGACCTGGGCCAGGGAACTCCAGGGAAGGATGAGTGGTAGCTGGTTTTGTTAACCCACCACTCGGGGGGCTTGTTAACCTGTCTCAGAGGAACGTCCCATGTGGGAGGTATAGCCGTTACAGACTTGAACCCAGTTCTTTTTCTTACAAGACACTGAAGTTCTGAATAAAGGGAATAATAGCATCCTTCCTATTGTGAAAACAAGCTTCATTCATAGGAGGCTTTTAGCAGGCTTGGCACAATGAGCACTCTGGGCGCTGTTGTCATTATCAGTAATGATGACAATTACAGATTTACCACAGGCCGTGTCCTAATAAACCCACTGAGAACCAAAATACTATAGGGCTCTGGTAGCCCAGCTACTTGGAAGACACAGATCAGGAGGATCACAGTTCGAGGCCAGCCCTGGCAAAAAGCGAGACCCTATCTCAAAAATACCCAACACAAAAAACAGCTGACAAAGTGGCTCAAGTGTTAAGAGTACCTGTCTAGCAAGCATAAGGCCCTGAGTTCAAGCCCCAGTACCACCAAAAAAAACATTTAATTCACCTGATCTACCAAGCACCCAGCACTGACTGGTTGTGACTAGAGAGGGGTTACTACTGCCACCAGGTGTCACAAAAGAGTACTGCACCACACATTGCCTGAGGGGGACCAAAATTTGGAGTTTGCTGAGCATGCATGGCTCCCACACCATGGTAAAGTGCAGAATGAGTCCAGAAAAGGCACCAGCCCAGTGATCCAAGGGATCTCCATTCTGGAACCTCGCTTTAATTCTTCTGTTGTTGCTGTTAAATACTCATAATAACAGGCCCCAATCTCTGTGTTTCCATTTTAGGCAGCTGGTTTCAGGAGCAGAAACATTAAATCTTGTTGCTGAAATCCTTAAATCTATAGACAGAATTTCCGAAATTAAAGACGAGGAGGAGAACCCTTGAGAACCACTGGCTGCTTCCAGCTCCTGGCTGTGTGCGCCGATATCACCACTGCTTCATCTGAACATGCACCCCTAACTACGCCGTCTTTGCCCAAAGGATCATGACATACCAATTTCATGACCTAACACAGTGTTATTGGCTCTCCGCAACAGGAGCAGCTCCTGTCTATGAGCTGTACCTGTGGTTTGTATGCAGTCCTTGGTGAAATTTACAGATGCAATATAGATGAAATAATCTATTGGAAGAAATTTTTATAAATTCCAGAAAGTTTTAAAATTACTAAACATGAAAACAGCACTTCTGTAATAAGTGTTTTCCATTATCATCTCAGAACATTAACAGTACCATAGGTTCATTGCTCAGCCTCCATTTCATAAGCAGAAAGAACACTAACTGAGCTGTTGCATAACCGAGCAGCCTGGATAGGGACTCGTGCCTTTGTGCTGTCACTCAGTGCCCGGCTGGCTGACGGCTCCCATCACAGCTCCACAGGGCAGCTCCTGTGGTCAGCTGCTGCCCTCCCACCAGGACTGCAGGGGACTGAGGTCATTGACATTCCACTTACCACTGTGAGCTTTCAGCCTTGAAAAGCTGATTGTGGCTGGGGGTTGATGTTTCAGGGGGGCATTTTGTACAATGAAGTTCAGAATTCCGAAGTTTAAAGTGTGGTACGAGGTCTCTGGGCAGTCTCCAGCCACCTTCCCAGGTGGGAAAGGCACAACAGACATACTGTGCCTTTTTGGCTATTTCCCTATCAATGTAATTTTGAAAATAAACGTCCTTTTCCCCTCTTGTTCAAATTGACAGTTTTCTTGTTTAAATAAATCCCAAAGTTCATGCGTACTACCTTTTCATTCTGGCTTGGCCAGTTCTTCATGCTGGAGAGCCACACTGCTGTCCTCTAACCCTAAGCCTGTGTCTAGGTGTTCTTGGCATTGCTGGTGACTTGTGCTGGCTTACGGAGCCTTTGGATCCCTGCCCTCGGGGTCAGCGGCAGATTGCAGGGAGTAGTACGCTGTCACGTTTTAGCTGCATGGTTTAAGATTGGACATACTGGATTCTAGCATTAGAACATTCTTAGAGATTTTCAAACAAGACATTTAAAACTGTAGACCCTTTGACTCAGCTACAGATAAAGCCAGGGCTTTCCTGAAGCCACTATGGAGTGTCAATGTAGCCTGCCCACCTCTTCTCCCCCAGCCCCCAATGCAGGAGTGTGTTGGGATGTCCTACAGAACTGCCCCAAGGCCCTGTGGGGGAGAGCATTTTGTGGGGTGAACAGGCAGATCAGATCACAAGACATGTCTCCACTCACTGGGCCCAAGGCAGAATGGCCACCTGGGGCAGCCCTCAGATGTCACACCTATTCCAACCCTTTCAGCTACAGGCTACTGGGTGGGAATGGGGGAAGTGTTCCCAGGTTAAAAAAAAAAACTTAGAGGCTAGCCCACGAGTCTGGATTTTGAGTCCCATACAGGCAAATCCTGGCACATTCAATGCAGGGTTGAAATAGTGGGACATTCCAAGAACCAACAGCATAGCCCATCACTGGTGGTGCACACCTGTAATCCTAGCTACTTGGGAGGCAGAGGTCAGGATTGTGATTCAAGGTCAGCCTGGGCAAAGAGCAAGCTCCTATCTCAAAAATACCCAACACAAAAAAGGGCTGGCAAAGTGGCTCAAGTGGTAGAGCACCTGCCTAGCAATTGTGAGGCCCTAAGTTCAAACCCCTGTACCACCAAAAGAAAAGTGTCCTGCTTCCTTCCTTCTGGCTGGGTTTCCCCTTTTCTCCCCAGTTCCAAGCCTCACCTGACTCTAGCTGTTTGCCATTAAAAGACCTCCCCCCAGGCCACTGCTAGCGCATCTTCCAAGAGTCAGGCTCCATCCAGGCTGGATCAGCGCCCCTCTCCTGCAGGGACTCACAAGGAGGAACTGGGGACTCGAGTCCAGCCCTCTCCAGTCAGCCGGGAACTGACAGAATAAATGAATGCCCACTTAGGGAAGGCCCTGGGCTGGGGCTCCCTAAAAGCCCCCGAAGGTGTGCACAGTTAACGAAGGTGGGTTCTGACGGAGGCCAGCCTCCCGCACCTGCCCAAGGATGCCGCAGGCGGGAAAGTCCTTCGTAGATCCGCTCGTTGTCTGCTCAGCCAAACCCCAGACACCGGACTACGCAGTGGACTTGGCCGGGGTCCACTTCCGGCTCCTCCTGCGCGCCGGGCAGTCCCCAGAGCGGCCGCGCGGGGGCGCGCGCCACTCCAGGCCCTGGCCGGCAGCAGCGGCTGTCCCGGCGTCCCTCGCGCCACCGCTCGGAGGCGGGACTTCCGGTGCGCGAGGCTTGAGTTCCGCTGCTACCGGAAGCTTGATGTCTATGGTCGCCTGGGCGACAGTGCGGGCCGCGAGGGCACGCGAATTCGCCCGGCGAGTGAAGTCCGTACTACAGGTAAAAGCCAGGGGACCAGCGGGGAGGGGCGGGGCGGGCTGGAGCCGTCCCCTCGGAGGACGTCTTTAGGAGCGCGCAGCCAAGGCCCGGGAAGGAAGCTCTGCGGCCGCGACCCTGCCGCGGCGGGATTATAGCTCGAAGACCCTCGGTCAGAAACAGTACCCGTTGCCTGCCTGGAATCCGCCGACTGGCACGGGAAGCCTGCTGCCGGGAGCAGCGAGAGCGGAGCCGTCCTGCGCCCCGGAGAAGGCAAGGGTCTTGCCGAGCCTCGCAGCTGCCCTTTACCCTCCCTGCCTCTCCCCGCTGATGCACCCGAGGCTGCCTTAGGTTCTGGGCCCAGCCACGAGGGAGGCTTGACCTGTAGAGAGGGCCGCCCGCTCCCTTCTGGGAGTCTTGAGGGGCAGCCTCCGATTTCAGGGAAAGGCCTGTAGCTTCTGACTGAGGGCTTAAACTTGCGATTTTTTAACTCCTCCGCTCACAGGAGGTGAGAAGTGGATGTAGCTCTCTTCCAAACACAAGTCACCTTTTCCTTGGAAGCCGGACTTCAGAAGCTCCTCCAGCTTGGCGGAACGTCAGCTTTGAACCCACCAGCGGTTGCTGCTGGTCCTGCAGATCTGGCTGACTTCTAGCTGTGTTCAATTTATGAACATCCCCAGTATAAACGAGGCGCCTTGTGCAGCAGTGACACAGCTGAAGGGCACTTACTGGTGGTTGCTTTGTTTTTTCCACCGTGGGTCAGAGTCTAAGCAGGGAGAAGCAGTACAAAGGCAGGAGAGGATGTTTCTCCTTTTTGTTTTGTTTACGGCAGGGTGTCTCTATATAGCCTAGGTCAGCCTGTAACTCTCCATCCTCCTGCCTCAGCCTCCCCAGTGCTGGGATTACAGACATGGCCGCTACACTGGGCTTAGGGTGTTTCTCTTCTTTGTTTCTGGCCCCTGGGTATGTGCTTGTGTTCTGTAATGTTCTCTCACCCTTCTTTCCCCCTCAGACTTGGCTGATAGCATTCCCAAGAAAAAAGCTGGAGTTCTTAGAGTGCAGAAAATGCCAGGTTGCAGCCCCAGGGCTCCCTGTAAGCCTGGGTCTCAGTGTTCTCTGGGGAGCCCTTTTGTCTGCTTTGGAGCAGACTCCAGAGTCCCCAGCAGGTGTGTGAATGAAGGAAGATGAGATTCAGGCACTCTCTTAACATCTTGCAATACATTGTGAAGGCAGGCAGAAGTCATGGACATAGACGCAGAGAGAGAGAAAATAACAAAGGAGATCAAGGAGCTGGAAAGGATTTTGGATCCCAGTTCCTCCAGCATCCACTTGGAAGTCTCTGAGTCAAGTCTCGATTCAGACTCTGAAGGAGGTGAGCTTGTGCACCTGGCCTCCTTGGGCTGTGGCTGATCAGCTGTGTATGTGTGAATTTCCCTTCTGCTACATGTGCTACTGTATGGCCAATCTCTGTTTTCTGCCCAAAATGGCCTCTGCTTTTTTTCTCAGCCAGAGAGCTGGTCTCAGGTCCTAACCTGAGAACAGCTAACGCCCCAACCTGCTGGCTGTGCACGTGCACCCTGCCTCTGCTGCCATGTGGCCTTGGGATCTTGGGGGCCCTCTGGGTGAGCATGCCATCCTGACAGGAAGGGGTGGGGCAGAGCTCAGCCCGTCAGCCTTGACAGTCACCATGGCTCAGACCCCCAGAATCTCCTCCTGGTGGACAGCCCTCCAGTGGGACCCCATTATGGTGACCAACCCCTTCTCTGCTCCATGCTCCCGTTCCTGTTGTTGGTTTCTAACACAGTGTGCTTGTGTTCTGACAGATTTGCTGCCTGGTGAGGACTTGGATGCCACTGGAGCCCCAGTCTTGGTAAGTGCTGCTCACCTGGCTGGGTCAGACCTGCTGCTATTCTCCAAAATGTTCAGAGAGGGGTGTGGTTTTAAACCCTTTTGTTTTTTTCTGCATTATAAAAGTAATACACAGCCGGGCACCAGTGGCTCACACCTGTAATCCTAGCTACAGAGGAAGCAGGATTGAGGTTCGAAGCCAGCACAGACAAATGACCCTATGTCAAAAAAAACCCATCTCACACACACACAAAAAGGGTTGGTGGAGTGGGCTCTGAGATCAAACCCCAGTACCTCCAAAAAAAAAAAAAAAAACTGTTACAAAAACAAGACATCACAAAGTATTTTTGTGGATGGTGGGACTCAAACCCAGTGTTACTAGAGAAGTGCTGTATCACTGAGCTACATCCCTGTACACACAGAATTATTGAGATTAAAATTGTCCGCAGAAACAACCACTGTTAACAGATTGGTGACTAAACTGCTGGCTTTTTTCTGAGTTCACTCGCACCCGTACTTCATAAGCGACATCATACATCAAGAGCAGTGGGCTTTGTCCCTCAACTTGCTTGCTGGGCCTGAGTGTCGAGTCTGAACAGTGGCGATGACTCTGGCACAGGCCAGCAAGCACACAGAAGTACCTAGAACAGCACCTGGTGGTGTCTCGGTCATGTCAGTTGTTAGCCATTCTTTGTTTTGGAATTTTACTTTGGGAAACTTTTGCAGCGTGCTTATTTTTTCCTCCGAGTTAATAGGGATAGAGTCACCTCGGGGCTGCGTAGCTCCCGTGAATGGATTGAGGTGTCTCCGTATTCTTTGGACACATTGTCCACAGTGAGCATTTGGTGTGCCCAGCTCTTGGCCATGATGGCTCTTCAGGGAGTTTTCTCACCATGATCTGGCTCACGTGATGCCGGGAAATGGAGGCAAAGCAAGTTCCTTGTAAAGTTCAATTTTAGCCAGGCACCAGTGGCTCACACCTGTAATCCTGGCTACTTGAGAGGCAGAGATGGGTAGGATCGCCATTTAAAGCCAGTCTAGAGAAACAGTTTGTGAGATCCTGTCTTGAAACTGTCCAACACAAAAAAGGCTGGCAGAGTGACTCAAGTGGTAGAGCGCCTGCCTAGCAAGTGTGAGGCTCTGAGTTCAAACCCAGCACCACCAAAAAGAATAAAACTAAAATAAGTAAATAAAATTCAACTTCACAGATATGTTTGTTGTAGAAATTGGAAGCTGCTCGATTCCTCTGAACATACTCCTCATGCTGTACATGAGAAAGTGTACACACAGTCTGCCTTGAGGGTGACGGGCCCCTCCCAGGCATAAACTTGCCCCTGCTACCCACTAGGGTCACCTCTCGGTCCCATGTTCAATAGTCTTGCATTAGTGCAGCCTCAGTGCCCCAGAGGGCCAGCATCTGGAACAGGGCCTTCGGCTGAGGCTTCAAGGAGGGGAATGCCCTACATCCCATTTCCTCATTTGCCATTTCTGGCTCTTGACCAGGAGGATGAAAGGTGGGGCGAAGCCAGCAATGACGAGGAGGATCCCAAGGATAAAACTCTCCCTGAAGACCCCGAGACCTGTCTGCAGTTGAACATGGTCTACCAGGAGGTCATCCGAGAGAAGCTGGCAGAAGTCACCCAGCTGCTGGCCCAGAACCGGGAGCAGCAGGTAGGATGGCCTGCATTGTGCTAGTCTTTCTCACCATGAGAGCCCCACAGCCAGGCTCTCAGGGCAGGGCTTGGGGTAGGCCTGCTCTCTGACTATCTGCCCTCTTCCATCCTGTCTGGCCCACACATGGCCTTGCTTCTGTCCTAGGAGGAGATCCTGTGTGATTTGGCTGGGTCCAAAGGTCCCAAGGCAAAAGATGGCAAGAGCCTGCCACCAAATATGTACATAGGCCACTTCATGAAGCCATACTTCAAGGACAGGGTCACTGGAGTGGTGAGTGGTGGTACTCTGCTCCAGTCAGCAGGGCTCAGTACCCTGTGGGAAGGGCTTTCATTCCCCCGCCTGCTGGCAGTGATTGTGAATTCCCTTGGGTCCTTAAGGATAACAGTCTTCCTGAAACTCTCCTTCATCCCATGGTGAAAGTCAAGGCCACCTTCCCTCGGTGGACAAGCTGATCCCCACCCTGTGGGTAGACCACCCAGAGATATGTTTACCTGAGGAAGGTGAACTGTTAACAAGACCTTGCCATGTAGATTTGCCTTTGCTAAAGGCAGCCCTGTGCCTATCAGCATAACGGAGTGGTCATGCCCAGACCTAGTCACATGGCTGTAGTTTTGGGTGCAGAGGTCATGTGCCTGGCCCTGTACGTGGGTGGACGCATGAGGAGGTCGGGAGGAAGGGTTCTGAGTCCTAGTGGAGACCCTGGAGGGATGTGCTGGGCCCTGCAGATGAGCACAGCTGGTCTGCTGCATCCTGACACTGCGCTCTGACAGGGGCCTCCCGCCAATGAAGACACACGGGAGAAGGCCGCCCAAGGAATCAAGGCCTTCGAGGCGCTCTTGGTGACCAAGTGTAAGAATCCAGGCAGGCCCTCGGTTGGGCACCCAGCAAGTGTAGGGACAGAGGAGGCCTTAACCACAGCCCTGACTCTGTTCAGGTGTGCTACCGCCCTGAGACCTGTCTCTTCTGTGGCTTCATGGGCTCCTTCAGGCCTTGACCACTGGCACTGGCTACTTCACCCCTTGTCTTTCCTATACTGAATGGGGTTCTTTTGAGGATGCTGGCCATGAGGGACAGACTGGCCCCCTTTCCCCCCACACATGTGCAGTCTCTCCCTCCTGCTCTCAGAACACCTAGCTCTGGAAGGCCCTACCATGAGCTTGGGCCAGGCCTCAGGTGAAGTTGTTGATTGGGGGGCCTGGCTGGCTGCCTGATTGGCATCCACAAGGACCCCAATGCAGCTGCTTCCTCCTCTGTAGCTGGGAGTAGGAAATTATGCCTGGGACTGTAGAGAGGATTCAGTGAACAGCATGCATCCTGGGAGTGCGCAAGGTCTCGTGACCTTGCTGCTGTTCCTCCCTAGGGAAGCACTGGGAGAAAGCATTGCTCAGGAAGTCTGTGGTGAGCGACCGCCTGCAGCGCCTGCTTCAGCCCAAATTGCTCAAGTAAGTATGGAAACAGGTCAGCAGGCCTTCCTCACACAGAAAGCTGGTGGCTATATGGGCTTGTGAGAGCCAGTGCAGCACGCTCTATCCTCAGCCGCTGCCCTGCCAGCTCCAAGATGCCTGTGCCTACACTTTACCCTCCACCACAGGAGGCGGCCAGCAGCCACATTTAGTTGTGTGCCTCAGGCAGTTTCCGTTCTCTGGGCCTCCATTTCCCCTGGGAAAGTGGGGATTGTCCTTCAATCCTGCTTTGTGGGTGACGTGACTAGAAGGTATCACACAGTACAGGTTGGTGTGGATACTCAAGAAAGGGCACTGCTGCTGTTGTTGATAACTGATAGAGGTGCAGGTGCCTCCTGGTCAGCAGACTAGGGAAGCACCCAAGGACTGACTACACTGTACCCGTGTGGCCAGGAGGCAGTGACACTACCTCAGGACAGAACAGCTAGGGAAGGTTGTGTCTTTGGGCATCTAGAGGCCAGGGAGCTCCAGGAACAGCTTGTGTATAGTCAGGATGTGCAGCAGTGATTGTGACCCCTTTTGAGGTGGTGAGAGAGCCCGGTCTTCCCTCCCTGACCAGGTTTGGGAAGCAGTTATTTGCTGTAGGTAGCTATAACTGTAGTCCTAAGAGTCAGGACGTCTGTAGGCATCTGCATCTTATATGGCTAGGTTTAGCAGAGTGGGCCCTGCTCTAAGTTGTAGGCATCAGGTAGCTACCACCTGCCTCTGCAAATGCTCTTGCCCTGGACAACACTGTTCTGATCCTAGGGAAGCCCCAGAGGTGGTGCTGCAATTTCCTTCATGGTGAGGAGCCAGGGCAGGAGAGAAAGGAGACTCCAGTGTGAGCTCTCACTACTGAGCTGTGCTGTGATGGAGATCTGCCTATGGACAGCTCAGAACCAGGGCCTTGAAGCCCACAGAGCATGTCCACAGCCATCTCTCCTCCACTCTGCCTTGCAGGCTCGAGTACTTACAGCAGAAGCAGAGCCGTGTCTCCAGTGAGCCAGAGAGGAAAGCCCTGGAGAAGCAGATCAGGGAAGCAGAGAAGGAGATCCAGAATATCAAGTGAGCTAGGGCCCTCCTGGGGTCCAGGGATGAGCCAGTAGGCTGGACATAACACCAATGCCCTGTCCCTTCCTCCAGCCAGCTCCCAGAGGAAGACTTGCTGGGGAACAGACTGGACAGTCACGACTGGGAGAAGATTTCCAATGTCAATGTGAGTCAGGGCAGGCCTGGATCACACAACTGCAGCAGGACTCCTGTAGCCAGGAGTAGTCAGAATCTAGTGGTGAGGCTATACCCTCCCTGGTGCTTCAACCCAGCTCACTGTGACCCTTGTGGTCAAGCATTTAATTGGCAGTTGGGAGTGCTGAGTGGCTTCCTGGGACCTTCCACTGATTGGAGGTGCCTCTCCTGAGATGGACAGTCTCGAAGGTTTTCCTCTGGAGCCAAGTCTGCGTTTTAGGCTGTGCAGGCCTAGTGATTTGGACAGCTATCCCACTCATATCCAGCCAGCAGAGTGACGGCCTAGCCTAAAACTGTCTGGGTGTGCTTGGTGTCAGCAGCCCCTGAAGGCTGTGTTTCTTATCAATGTAGTTTGAAGGAGGCCGCAGCGCAACGGAGATCCAGAAGTTCTGGCAGAGCTCTGAACACCCAAGCATTAACAAGCAGGAATGGAGCGCAGAGGAGGTGGAGCATCTGAGGGCCATTGCAGCCGCACATGGCCACCTGGAGTGGCATTTGGTCGCAGAGGAGCTAGGGGTAAAGACCTGGAAACCGTGGAGGACTGGGAGGGCATGGGCTCACTATAGCCTGACTCGTCCCCCAGGGGCCTCAGAACTCTGACCCTGCCATGCCTCTGAGACCCCACAGCCTTCCCCCAGATCCTCCAGCCTTCATAGCAGTATGCAGTCTGCACTTCATCTGTTCCCATTTCTCCTCGTGTTCCATTCTTTCTCCTCACCAACCTTAAGATTAGTTTATTTTGCTACTGTTCCAAAAGAACACTTCTTCCTAGGTTCTTTTGAGGCCTTTGGTGGTTTGTCTGATTCTGAAGGTGAGAACTAAGCTCTTTTCTTGGGCCTTCTGTTTCTAGTGATGAAGACACTTGAGGCCACCCTTCTGAGAGGAGCAGACACAAATCGCTCTTCGTGCAGATTTCTTTGAACCTGAGTTTGTTTATCACTTGTTTCATGGCAGAGTGCATGATTGTAGCAAACCAGATTGAACTTGCCAAAGCCTTTTTTTTTCCAAACACAAAAGGAGGCCTGCTCTCCATTCCCAGATCTCAGTTCTGTGAGGTGTTGAGCAGAGTTGGTCAGTTGTGTTCTTGACCTTCACTTTCTAGAGCTGGTTGGTTCCGAGAGTTGTGTAGCTGTAGCAGTTCATGACCCAGAGTGCTGATACTGAGAGGAGGTCTTCGGCCTCCGGGTAGACTTGTCATCTGTGTTTAACTGCCTGTCACTGGTACACACAGCTGTGATTTTATTTGCCTGGTAAATTACGTTTTTAAAGAAACTCCTTCGTTTATCTTCTTGGGCCTTTTTAACTTTGAACTCCATTTCATCCTGCTTTTCTCACATTTTCATCTATTTTTTATACCCCTTCTCCCTTATTTCCAGCCTTTTTTAAAGTTGCCCTTTTGGGATGTTTTTAGGAAAGCAGCAGGAAGCTGGGTTTGGGTTCTGGATTTTGAGATTTCTCCATGTTCAGCCGCAGCATCTGACAGCCACAGTGTCCCCAGTGTCTGGCATATTGGCTGTGACTCCTGGTGGTTCCTCTTCCTCTCCTTCTGTCCTGCCGGCTGGTATGGCCCCAAGTCCACTTTCTGTCCTGGGCAGTGGTGGGAGCTCTGCTGTGCTTTCCACTCTACATTAGTGGGTTTTTCCATCTCCTTGGAATGAGTCTGGACTGCTTCTCTATTAACTGAAAGTGGGACACCAGCAATTTTCCCTGAAGATTCCTCCTTCCTGAGAACCAATTTGGTCACTGGCCGTCAGTGACCTGGAGAGATCCATCCCATCTCACTGCAAGCCTTCACTCTCCATTCTCCAGAAGGTTCCAAGGCTCTGAAGCCCCGCCCTCACCTGGTCCTTTCTCTTTCTCCATCTCTTCCTTGGATGCCTGAAGGTAGCCTGACAAAAGTGACCCACAAAGTGGGCTTGAGTTGGAAGGGTCTTTGATTTTCACTAATCAGGAAGGAAGTCACCCCATCTGGGTGCAGGTGAGAGAGCATGGTCTTCCACACACTGAGTGAAGTGTGTCTACACACCCAGCAAATGGGCTGTGTGGGCCAGAGTTAACATGTCCTGAACTAAGAAGGATCACTCTGCAGCAAATGTAGCCCAAAGGTGGGGTCTTGGGTTGTGGGAGAGAAATCTTAGGGGCCCTGTGTTACAACACCTTAGGGAGAGTTTGGTGGATAGAAAGATGCAGAAGCAAGCCAGCTAGCTGAGTGCCTGCCATGTTTAGTCACACAAGTCCCATGTGACTGAAAGCTGTTTTTGGAGAAGAGGGTTCAGAAACATGAGTCAGTTCAGGGAAAGCCTTTCCCACCAGGCAGAGTGATGGACAGACACCACAATGTTTCTTGCATGCTGAGGGTTTATCTGCTGAGCACTCCTGCCTGAGGGCATCATGGAGTCATGTCACCACACCAAGGACAGTCCAGCAATCCCCATCTTATGGCTATCCCAGCAAAACATCCATAGAGCCTACCTTGGAACTTGAGAGCTAGAGAAGGTGCCAGCCACAGGTCTGAAGAGGGCACAGGGCACAGGACAGTATGTCTGCACAGGCTTTGCCAAGCTGCGCATTTCCTTCCATGATGTGGGAGTTGGCAGTGAGGTTTAGATGTCATTTCAGTTAACCATTTGAGCTTTCCTTAGTGTAAACGACTGAGCCCTCTCCCATCTGGTCTTCCCTGGTCCTTTGTGTTCTGGGCCTGATGTTCCCACCAGATGCACCATCACCCCACCAAGAGGAGAGCTTGGTGTACAGAAGTGCCACCCTGTGGCCCTCAGGTCCACCTGTGCCCTGGAGGGTGCAGATCTGGGATTTGGATGTTGCTCCGTGCGCAGGGCAATCCCAGTAACATTTGCTTTTGCTCGGCCTTGGGAAGACCAGCCGCAGCGCCTTCCAGTGCCTGCAGAAGTTCCAGCAACACAACACAGCCCTGAAGCGCAAGGAGTGGACGGAGGAGGAGGACCGCATGCTCACCCAGCTGGTTCAGGAGATGCGTGTTGGGAGCCATATCCCCTACCGCAGAAGTGAGCCTGCATTTGTCCCCACCACCTCAGGGCCCCTCAGACTGCCCCATGAACCTGAAAGCAGAGATTCACAGAGCAGCCCCTGCTGCACTAGAGGTGGGAGGGGGGAGAATGAGGGTGCTGCCATTCAAGGCGCTCCTCAGTGATGAGAGTGACTTCTGTGTGGCTCCCCAAAACCCAGTCCCTCCACCCCCACGCCTGCCTGCAAGCGGGCATCGCAGTCCCGCCTAATCCCCTCGTCCACAGTTGTCTACTACATGGAAGGGAGGGACTCCATGCAGCTGATCTACAGGTGGACCAAGAGCTTGGATCCTAGCCTGAAAAAGGGCTTCTGGGCCCCAGAAGAAGATGCTGTAAGTCTGTGGGACCTGAGGAGGTCTGTGTCCGGGAAGCCCAGATGGCAGCTGTGGCTCTGATGTTCCTGTCTTAGGCTGGACAGACTTCAGGGTGGGGAGGGTATGGTTTATCTGCTTGTTCCTTCCTGCAGAAGCTGCTTCAAGCTGTTGCCAAGTATGGGGAGCAGGATTGGTTTAAGATCCGGGAAGAGGTACCAGGTAGGAGCGATGCCCAGTGCCGAGATCGGTGAGTTGCACAGTGCTGGGTGAGGAGGGTTCCTGGGGTCAGTCTCCTGTGAGGCAGGCTAGGTGATGGTGGCCCAGGAGTGATGTGTTGTCATAGGAGACTGTGGCCCACCAGGGCTTTGTGTACTAGGGTTGAACTAGTTGGGAAGCAGGATGAACTGTTTTATCCCAACTCGGACTTTCATATTTGAGTTGCTTGTCTACCAGGAATAAGGTGCTGTTTTCCCAGCTGCTTCCTGGTCTGTGGTTTCCCTGACCCCTGTTGCCTGAGGTCTCCTCTCCTGTCACTGGTGGGCAAGGTCCTCACAGGCAGCTGCAGCTCCCTCCTTTTTTCATTGGATGTAGTTGACGTACCTTAAAATTATTAATTTGAGACATTTTTATCACTCCAGAAAGAAACTGCAATTCACATCTCAGAACCCAGTTCAAAACCAGGCAAAAGTCTTTTTTTTCATCTTCTTTTTCTTTTGGTTGGACTGGGGTTTGAACTCAGTCATTGCGCAGCATTTACTAGACAGGTGCTTTACCACTACAGCCATGCCCCCCCAGCCCTTTTTTCCTTCAGTTATTTTTCAAGTAAGGTCTCATGATTTTGCCCCATGCTGGCTTCAGCATTTAGTCCTCCCAATTTCTGCTTCCTGAGTAACTAAGATTGCAGGCATGAGCCACCACACCCAGCTTTAGGATAGCAATTTTTTTTAAAAGAACAAAATTAACCCCACAATAACAAGTGTTGGCAAAGATGTTGAGAAACTGGAGACCTCACGCACTTTGGTGGGAATGTAGAATTGGCAAATTCTTTGTGGAAAACAGTGTGGTGTTTTCCTTAAAATGTTAAAAGCAGAATTGGATCCAAATAAATCAATAGGTATGAAACCCAAAAGAATTGAAAGCAGGGACTCAGGTGGTACTTGTACCAGTGTTCAGAGCAGCACTACTCCTGAGGGGTAAAGAGAGATGCACTCAATAGAGTGTTACTTAGCCTTAAAAGGAAGAACAGTTCATGGTGTCTGAATTATTATTTATTTATTTTTTTGGTAGTACTGGGGTTTGAACTCGGCCTCACACTTGCTAGGCAGGAACTGTTATCACTTGAGCCACTCCACCAGCCCCACTCATGTATCTGAAGTCTTGAAAACATTTAAAATGTGTGTACAAGTTTCTGTATCAGATAATGCATGTTTGTCTCCGGCACATCTTTTGTGTATATACCAGCCTTTTGGAAACTGCCGGGCTTTTTTCTGAGTGGCTGAACCGTTTTGTGTTCCCACCAGCAATGTATGAGGTTTCCACATTCACTCCAACACTTGTTATTATCTGTCTGTGATTATACCCTTCCTAGTGGGTGTGAAGTGGTGTCTCATAGTGGTTTTGATCGGCATTTCCCTGGTCGCTGTGTTGAGCATCTCTGCATGTACCTACTGGCTACACATATGTACACACACACACACACACACACACACACACGTGCGCACGCACACACACACATACATATGTCTTTGGAGAGAGATGTATTCAAATCCTTTGCCCGTTTTTTAAATTACTTGTTTATAGGATTTTTTGTTTTTGTTTCTTGGCATTACTAGGGTTTGAACGCAGGGCCTCATGCTTGCTAGGCAGGTGCTCTACAACTTGAGAATGAAGAGGTCTCAGCCTCCTGAGTGCTGGGATTATAGGCATGCTCCACCACACCAGGGCTGTCTTTGTACTGTTAGCTCATAAGAGCTCTTTATTCTATATTCAAGTGTCTTATCAGATATGTGATTTGCAAATAGCCTCCCAATTTGTGGTTTGTCTTTCTACTTTTTTGGGGTGAGATACTGGGGTTTGAACTTGGTCCTTGCTTGCTCTCTACCATGCTCCCAGCCCTTTTAGCTTTAGTGATTTTTTTGAATAGGGTCTTGATCTTTGCCTGGGCTGGCCTGGACTTTGATCCTCCTACCTATGCTTCCCACATAATTGGGATCATAGGCATCTACCACCATGCCTGGCTTATTGATTGAGATTGGGTCTTCATAACTCTTCCCAGGTTGTCTTCAAACCACAGTCTTCCTGGTCTTTGTCTCCCAAGCAGCTGGGGTTACAAGAATGAGCCGCCACTACTACACCCAGTTGTTCTTTCTACTTTCTTTTTCTTTTTTTTTTTTTTCTCTTTTCTTTTTTGATGCTGGGATCGAACCCAGGGCCTCGCAAATGCTAGGCAAGCACTGTACCACCAAGCTACATCCCAGCCCCTCTTTTTTTTTTTGCAGTACTGGGGCTTGAACTCGGGGCCTTCACCTTGAACCACTCCACCAGCCCTATTTTTGTGAAAGGTTTTTTCAAGATAGGGTCTTGCAAACTATTCATCTGGTTTGGTGAATCCTTCTGATCTCTGCCTCCTGAGTAGCTAGGATTTCAGGCATGAGCCACCAGCACCCAGCTCTTTCTACTTTCTTGGTGGGGTCCCTTAGAGCACAAAAATACTAAGTTTTGGAGAAGTCAAGTTTATTTTTCCTGGGTCTTTGATGTCATGTGTAAGAAGTCATTGGAGGGATAGGGACAGCAGTGAGAGGGATCTTGGTGATTAAAATGTCCTTTTGGTCCCTCATCACTTTTAGCTACCTCAGAAGGTTACACTTCAGCTTGAAGAAGGGGCGGTGGAGTGCTGAAGAGGAGGCGCAGCTGATGGAGTTGATAGAAAAACACGGTGTTGGTGAGCACTGGGGACAACCACCCTTTCCAGAAGGCCTGCAGCACTTTGGGGCCTAGGGTATGCGTCGGTCCTTGGCTGCGCCTTCCTTGCTGTCACCCAGGTGGCAGTGGGTCTCCCCATTACACAATTTGTTTTATTTACTTACTTATTCTTGGTGCTACGAATGGAACCCAGGGTGCCGTGCCTGCTAGGCAAGTGCCCCGCCACGAGCCACGTCGCAGCATCCCATTAAAATTGATACACATTCACTGGAAAAATTCACAAGTGCAGATGTGCAGAAAGAGGAGGAATTGCATAATTCATCTCACCCCAAGATAAGCGCTGTTTGCTGTGAGCGCTGCCCACTGCTTTCTCTGCAGATGGTCTTTCTAGGAAAAGGCGTGTCACTGTCGGCAGCTCCTTTCACCTGGCTGCACCAGGTGTGCAGCTGTGCAGCTGTGCAGCTGTGCTGAAGAGAACTGCCTGGGTTATACCTAAGTTAACCTTGTCGGGACAGACTTTTAATTTTTTTTTCCCCAGTACTGGGGTTTGAACTTGGGGCCTACACCTTGAGCCACTCCACCAGCCCTTTTTTTATGATGAGTTTTTTCAAGATAGAATATCATGAACTGTTTGCCCAGGCTGGCTTTGAACCACGATCCTCCTCATCTCTTCCTTCTGGGTAGTTAGGATTACAGGCATGAACCACCAGCACCTGGCTTCAGACATTAGATTTCCCAGTTTTTGCTCTCTGTCTGAAATGAGCTGAGGTTTTACATCTAAATCTTGTTCACATTAGTAATAGCTTAAGAATAAACCTAGCTGTGGTATTGCTTGGTTCGAGGATATTCAAAATATGAAGGATTTTGTTACCTATTGTCACACTGCCCCATAAAGGCAATGTCCAGTGTCCTGCCTGCCAACACAATGTGAAAGGAACATAGCTTGTTAGAGACATCTGGTTTGGAGTCTGGGTGTAGCAAATACATAAGAGCCTTTTGAAAACATGGGGCGATGTCTCCTTCCTGATCATATTTGCCAGAACTCCCAAGGGCTGGGTCATCCAAGAGATGCAGGTGCATCAGCCTTGCTGGGTACGTGGGGATGTGCAGGAAGTCCACCCTGATGGCCCCGCCTTGGCCTTCAGACTTTGGGCCTTCCCAAGCTGAGAAGCTGTGTCATAAAGGCAAGCAGCGTGAAGCAGTTCCTTGTGGTTTTTCCTTTATAGGTCACTGGGCAAAGATAGCTTCTGAACTACCCCACCGATCAGGCTCCCAGTGTCTGAGCAAGTGGAAAATCATGGTCAGGGTGAGGCATTTGTTCCCTTTTGGAGCTTTACTGGAAGTCAGACAGAAGCCTGTCACCTGTGGGACTTGTTGAGTGGGATGAGGGACTAAGGGTGATGTGTGGAGGGAGGGAGGGCTGTATGGTCTCTGGTCCTGGTATGTATCCTTCCTGAGGCCAATGGCAAAGACCTGCCTCATGGGCCGCACACTGTGCCCTGAAGGCATCCCTGCTTGGGGTTTTCCCTAAGGGCTATCTTGCCTGCCTGTTGTCCTTCAGTCGGGTAGCCCAGGCTTCAAAGTGGTCCTTTCCTCCCCTCAGAAGAAGCAGAGTCTCCGGAGGCGGCGGCAGAGGCCCCGTCACAGTGTCCGGTGGAGCTCCAGCAGCAGTGGCAGCAGTAGCAGTGGGGACAGCAGTGGCGGTCACAGCAGCAGCAGCAGCAGCAGCAGCAGCAGCAGTAGCGAGGACTCCGAACCAGAGCTAGAAGAGCCCCAGGAGGGTGGCAAAGTGTTGCTGTCCCCACCATACACAGTGCCAGACATTGACCTGTGGGTTCCTGCTAGGCAAGGCATCAGCCAGCCACTGAGAGAAGAGGCAGGTTGCTGCCCAGGACACTGTGCTACCTCCCCCTGCCCTCCCAAGGTGTCCAAAACTGCCCAGGGTCGCCACAAGGAAGTTTCCACCATAGCCTCTGCCCCTGGAGAGGAAATGAGCCAGGCACAGATGCATTCCAGGACACACAGCACTGTCCCAAGAGGCACCCAGTTGCTGAGCACTCACCCATCAAGTGGAGAGGCACAGACCTGCAAGGTGGGTTCCAGGTGCACCCCAGAATGTGTGCAAGGGGAAAAGCCGGTGGTCACTGAGGCAAGCACTCTGTGACAAGATGGCAACCTGGTCTCTGGCCTAGCCACAAGCCATTTCCCCTTGGTGCTCCTTAGAATGTGCTGCTTCAGGCTGATTTCGGGATTGCCCAGGGACAGAAGCCTCCTTTTTTTCCAACTTACTTGCTTGAAGGCCGCAAGGAGAGTTACTTCAGGGGCATAGCTGAGTGGACACTTAGACTTGGAGGCGTTTCTGATACTTTTCACCCCCAAGCCAGGGGTAGGGGGAAGGAATTGGGAAGAGCCCCAATCCAACCTGCAGGATCCCAAGTCTCCCTGTGCATCTTCAGGGTGTTGGGGTCCTGGGTGGGGCACAGTTCTGACAGGTCAGGAGTAGCTGTGCAGGATGCATGGGCTAGTCTGGGGGTGGGGTATACAGTTCCAGCTCTACAGATGGGGAGAGTATGTCCCATGGCCTTGGCCACCACATGAGCCACAGCCTCTTCTGGAGAGGGAGCTGCTGGTGACTCAAGAAACTGTTGGTGTCCTGGGAGCCAGTCCCTGGGGATATACCACCTCCTTCCTTAGGGGCAAGTCTTGCCAAAGCCCACACACTAACTATAGTGGACTTACTTCTCCCAAGTAGTAAGTGGTGCCCACAGCTTATACTTTGGTGGTCTGGGCAAGGAAGGGGTCCAGGGCAGCTCAGACATAAGGCCTGTGCAGTGGTTCTGCCATATTGTCTCCGATCTCCTTGTCAGGACAGGCAGTGTGTGCTAACGGTGCCCCTGGAGACCATGCTGAGGGTGCTCAGGACCAGCAGAGCCACCCGGAGCCACAGTCTGGTGAGGGCCTGAGCGCACGTGCATGTGGGAGCACCGCTGCCACCCCACCCTGGTCTGAGTGGGGACTGGGAACCCTGGCCAGGGCCTAGGTACCTTTCTCCTTGCAGAAGGAAGGTCTGAAGCAGCCGGCTCTGTCTGACTCACTCCCAGGGCCTGGCCCTGGAGACCACATGGCTGGGCCCCACCTGCGGCGGCTGTGGCGTGGATCCTTTCGGAACAGGCAGAGGCGCCAGAGACATGCTCTAAACTGGAGGTTCCTTGAGCGCAGGCTTCTGTTGGCCATGACGCCCTGGGTGGGTGATGTCACCCTGCCTTGCACACAGGCTCCCCGGAGGCCCAGGGCAGTGCAGACTCACGGTACTACCTAGGGCTCCTTGGGGGTGGGGAGCAGGGATAGGAACTTGAGTGCTTCTTGCTTGTGGCAGGGTGGTCCCTTAGGGGATTGGCCTCAGCAGGGGAACCTTGGAAAGGCAGGCACACCTGGGTCCAACTCAGGTGAGGGTCAGATGCACCTGTCCCCAATGCTTTTGAGGAAGAACAGTCATGCCAAGCTTTCTTGCCAAGGAAGGGGGAGGCTGAATATGGTGGTGTTTGGGTGGTGAGGGGGTTTAGAGAGACTGCCTTCTGCCCATTGGTGAGGCTAGCCTGGGAACATGCCCTTCTCCCCCAGCCGATGGCATCAGGACGCAGCTGGAGCATGCCCACCTTGCCAGCACCCCAGTGTTTGCACTGTTTATCCAGGTGAGCCCTGAGCAATGCTGTGTGTTCTGCTTTGTTCTTCTTGGTTCACTCCATAAAGGCCATTATCTAGGAAGGTGTTTTGATCCTTGAAAACAGTTTTCCTGGGCTGATGGAGTGGCTCAAGTGGTAGAGTACCTGCCTAGCAAGTATAGGTAGGCCCTGAGTTTAAACCCCAGTGCCACCAAAAAGAAAAGGAAAGAGTTATCAAAAAAGTATATAGCTGTGATCAACATCCAGTTGATTTCCAGTGTTATAAAACACTGGAAATGTTTTATAAAAAGAAACAGTCTCCTGGTCGTGGCCTGCAACTTTCAGGGGTTAACATGGAAGGGGCGGGGACAGCTAACCAATCAGTGTTTGCCATCCCATCAGGTTAAATGGTGCCCTGGGAAGGGAGCAGGTATCTGGGCCCTGGGTTAAAGTGGAAGACGAGGGGAGGATTGGGATGGGTCTAAGGACTCAAGTCCAGGCTGGGTTACATGAAGTCATCATGGCCTCCCTCATAGGGCTCCAGCCAGACTGTGAGGACTTGGATCTGCTCCTGAGAGCAGCCATGGTCAGGTCCAACCTCCATCCCACTGACGCCCTTGGTGCCTGGGCCCTGTGTATGTTGTGGGAGTGGGGGCCGTGGAGGTTCTCTTACCCCTATATGTCTCAGCTGCTGCAGATTGACACTGCAGGCTGCATGGAGGTGGTTCGAGAGAGGAAGGCCCAACCACCTGCACCTCTCCAGCCTGATGCTCGGGGCCCACCACCACGTCTTCCACAGGTAGTGGGCACTGGGGGTAAGAAGCAAAGGTGAGAGCTGCCTCCCCAGCAGTACCCAGCTCTCCTGTAAAGGGGGAATTCCCAGGCTCCTGTGGAGGTGTGGGTCCATCCCCTAGAGCAGCCCCCACTGCACCTCACTCTGCCCTGATGCACTCCCTCCAGGGAGCCATCTGCATGCACTAGAGCCTGAGAGGCCTAGTGCCAAATCTTAGGCAAGTATAGGTGGAACAGAGCTCAGCCAAGGCTATCTGGGAGCTATTGGGCACCATTTGCTTCAGGTACTAAATGCCTATGAGCTCAGTCAGCAAAAGGCCTCACCCTGAGGTGACACTAAACTAGAGACCAATTAAAACTCTGGTGCCCATGGGCCACAAATTCCACATTGTGCTGACTGCTCATGGCCAGACACCTGCAGGCCAGACTGCACTAGGAGCCTGCAGCAGCAGCAGTCCCTGAGCTCTGTGCAGAGATAGGCAGCTCCAGTGCTTGGGGCCTTCCCCCACTGCAGGAAATGGTGAGGGCTGTCTGGGTGGGAACAGGTGGTGGGGCCTAGTAAGGATCCCTACTGGCTAACTTTCCTCTTTCTTCTTTCTCAGGAGCCCTCTAGTACCCAGAACACCCCAGGTACCAGTGCCCCATGCTTTTCTCTATTTTGGTGGGAAAGGCCATACACACTTGTCATGCATTTGAGCTGCAGTCTCCCAGCAGCACAGCCTGTGGCCCAGGCTGAGAGCAGCCTGGAGCTGCTTGGGCTTCCGCCTGCTGGCACCCAGTAGCCACCCCATGCCTACAGACCTGGGAAAAGCCTTTGGTCCTGAAAGGACAGTGCTTTGTCACACAGTATGGGGAGAGCAATGGGGCCCAACAGTCCTGGTTTTAAAAGTGCTTGAGGATTAGGCACTGGTCCTAGGCTATTTGTTATTAAACAGGCTGGGCTGCCCCAGGCATCTGCTGCCCTGGCTGTGAACAGAGCACTTGGCTTTGGGAGGCCGTGAGGTAGGAGACCTGGGAAGAGGCAGCTGGAGCTTCTCTTAGCCTATGGCCAGACTCCTATGCCTTCTGTCCAATAGCTGCCCACTTGCAGGCCTCCTGATGTCCCTGGACCGGGTGTCTAGAATTCCCCAGAAAGGCAGGTGTCTGTCCTCTCATAGGCTGCCTCTTCCCAAATGTGCTAGCTCAGGACACTATGAAGAGCTCCAGCCACAGAGGACGCATGCAGTTGGACTCCTGCCAGGCCAAGTCTTCCTCCCCACAAGTCCCCACGCCAGCCCTGTGTGGTCCCCGGCCCAAACCCAAGACTGTGTCTGAGCTTCTTCGTGAGAAGCGGCTCCGTGAGTCCCGTGCAAGGAAAGCCGCCCAGAGCCCTGTGGCTCTCCAGCCCCAGCTGCTGGTTTCCTCATCTGTGATCCTCCAGGCCCCTCTGCCACTAGCTTCCCAGAGTCCCACAGCCACAGGACCTGGCATCCCAAGCATAGCGCTGTCTGGGCCTGCAGCTCCTGCAGGAGCCATTGCAAGCTCTTCTGGCTCCTGGCAGGAGCCTGGGACTTCAGCCAAGAATGAGAGGCCCATGGGACTGCAAGCCCTGCCCCTTACTCCAGGAGCCCAGGACATAGCCTCTGCTGCCTTCAGCTCTCTGGTCCAGAGCCCTGTGAGCTGCCCTCCAAGCAGTTCAGGACAATCTCAAACCCCTGCCACATCCCAGAAGCAGAACCTGCCCAAGGTCCTACCCTTTCTTCCCATAGCCCCTAACCCTACTCAGCTGCCCATGCAGCCCCTCAGCCTGATGCCTTCCCTGGACACAAACAAGGGTGGGTTGCCCCTGGCAGCCAGCATCCCCCTACCCATCACCTTGGTACTTACAACCCAGGGGTTGCTCCCTGTGCCAGGGCCAGCTGTGGTGGGCCTCCCCAGGCAAATGGGGACCCCTGGCCCCACCGGGCTGTCAGCAACAACACTGCTACAACCCCCCACAGAGACTCCCTCTTGCCCTCGGCAACCTCCAGTCAGTGTGAATACAGAGACAGCCCCCCCAAGGTGTTCCCCATCCCTAAGCCTTGCAGAAGTTGGTGGTGATATGCCCTGTGCCCTTGGGGAGGCCCAGGTTGCCAGGGAGATATCCGTGCCAACAATGTTTTCCCAGGCTGACCACCCGGAGGCAGAGCTCCCCTGTCCCAGCCAGTTGCCTATTGATGGCAGCCCTGGTCCCAGGAGTAATCCAGGAGGGACACCAAGGTCTCCCTCAGGGTCACCAGAGCCACAGGGGTCTCTGAGACTAGAGAGACCACCCCCACCTGGACCTGAGAAGGGGACACTGGACCTGCAGCTGCTCTCCCAGGAGAGCGAAGCAGCCATGAGGGAGTGGCTCAGGGGCCCACAAGGTGCTTGTGTGCCCCAGCTAGATAGCATGCTGCCCTACCTACCCCCAACCCTCTGTAGCCTGCGCGTGCTGTCCAGCCTCCTGCTCTGTAAGAAGGCCTTGGAGCACAAGGCAGTTTCCTTGGTGGCCAGCAGGGCAGCTGGAGCCAGACCTGAGCCTCAGGCTGGAACTCTGCAGGCCTTGCTGGGGGTAGTGCAGAGGCAGCTGCAGGACAACCCAGCCTACCTCCTATTAAAGACACGGTTTCTGGCAGCCTTTACCCTTCCTGCACTCCTGGCCACTCTGTCCCCATGTGGTGTCCATACCACCCTCTCAGCCATAAGGGTGGGCCCTGAGAGCGAAGATGAGGACCTCTTGGGTGAGCTGGGGCTCGAGGACAAGGTCAGGCAGCTGGGCTGCACATCCAGCAGAATGCAAGTGGCCACAAGCCCCGTCCAGGTAAGGGTGCTGGTCCCTGCCCTGATTCTATAGCAGGTGGGCCATGCAGGGTCTCACTTGCCTGCATGTCAGGCTTGCTGGGAGCATGAGCTGGAGCAGGTAGAAGTTGCCCGGCAGGGCTGGCAATGAGTTTCTCAGGGAGGAAGCTTGTGTAGCCCGCTGACATGGGACTTCTGTACAAAAGCCACCTCTCTTGGGCTGTGGGCAGCAGAAGAGGCAACTTGCCTCTGAGGCAGGACCCTCCTTACATGGTGACCATGAGTCTGAGGGAGTTGCTTAGGCCATATCCCCACTGCAGGCACAGCAAAGGTGGCAGCTGCCTTCGTCCCCATTCCTCTGGATTGAGTTTCTTCCAGGCATCTCTTGCTCATAAAGCGTTCTCTGAGCTGGGTGGGCAAGACTGGTTTCCTATTTCCCCAGATAAGCCTTAGAACAAAAAGTGTGTGTGTGCGGGGGGTGTGGGTGTGGGTGTGGGTGTGTGTGTGTTGGGTGGTGGTGACTGTATTTCGTGTTCTCCCAACTACATCCAGGGAGTCCTCACAAGGCCTCTTTCCCCTTCCAGGGGGCGTCTCAGACTTCTGCGCCAAGCCAGAGGGGTTGTCTAGGCCCTACAGGGGTGGAGTGGGCATATGGGGCCTCCTTCCCCTGGGCTGAAGCAAGGCAGAAACTACTGCCACAGGGGAGCAATACTTATCACTGCCTCACTGACCCTAATCCCAGGGGTCAGGAGGTTAGCTACCTGGGCACTGCTTAAAGGAGGTTAAAGACTTCCATGTGAGGGAGAAAGCCACAATAGCTGGGACCCACCTTGGGTACAAGGAAGGCCTGTGATGGCAGCCTCTTGGTTCAGCACAACCTATGTGCCTGTCCTGGGCAAAGATGATCCCAGGAACTGCCTGGTGTTTGGTTTAGGAGACTGTATTCTCACAGCCCTTCTCTACCTCATCCCCTGCTCATCATGACTGGGAGGTCATTTTGTCTCCCTTACCTGGGTCTTATTTCAGGGAGCCCCAGACCCTGGTGAAGGTTCTGCCCCCTCCCACCTGGATGCTTCTGATGAACTTGACGTGCTCAGGACCCGGCATGCCAGGCATACCCGGAAGCGGAAGCGGATGCCGTGAGCAGAAGGTGAGTTCCTAGTGGAGGGTGTCACCTGGCAACTAGGAAGAAAGGTGGGCATCCAGAATGTGGTACCCTCCCTCTGCCCTGCTTTGGGACACTTGAGCTGGAGCCAGGTGTGATGGGGTTAACTGGGTGTGCTGGGCCTGAATGGGCAGGTCTGAGGTCATGGAGGCCCTTCTGGGACATTAATCCACCCTCTCCATCATCCCCCTACCCTGGGCTCCATACCAGTTTCTCATACTTCCTTCCTGCTGGCTTCCTCTGGGCCTTGACCCGACTCCCTTCTGCCTAGCCCTACTTGCCCAACTCCTTTCCCTTCACTGGAATCTCAGAAATGCCTTCCCTGACCACTCTTCTAAGGTGACACTGCTGGTGCCCACTTTCCACACACACAGCCCACTGTTTCTCCATGACCACAAGCCCTTAAAAGCACTTTGCTTTTTGCTGCTGGGTCCCCAGGTCTGGGACAGTGCTACCTGGTGGGCGAGGGGGTGGTCTGAGTCAGCAGGCCCAGAGGCAAGAGCTTTCCCGTGACTGCAGGGTGGTTCCCAGGGAAGGCAGAGAAGGAGAGGTATCGGGACCACCAGGGGATTTCTAGGATGTTCCAGTCAGACTTCTGTGAAGCCCTCTCTGAGCAATGGCATCTGTCCTCATGTGGCACAGTGCTAGCTTTAGGGCAGGTACTCTCAACAACACTGGCTGTGGGGTTTGGCGGTGCGTCCTGGAACCTGCTGGGGTCAAGGTTCCCCTACTGTTAGTATGTTCCTGTGTTTTAGGACAAGGACTCTCGGGGCCCAGAGCCTACCCTTACTCCCAGCAAGAGGCAGGGCTCACCCCTGTCCAGGAGCCCACCACATCCCCACAGGAGGAAGTGGCTAGAAGCCAGGGAGCTACTGACTGACCCACAGACTGACCTCTGCCAGCAGCGGGTAGGAGGATGTGACGACAATGGCTCTGCGGCTCATGGGCCTGGCTAGGCCCTAAGTCCAAATCCAGATACCTGAAGGAATAAAGTAGATGTTTTATTTTTTTAATTAAAAAGCAGGACACAGGCTTTTGTGGTTTTGTTGTCTTGAGGTATGGGCACTTACACCCAGAGCTGCCACCAACCAGAATCAGGTCACCAGTCAGTGCCTAAACTCTCCTGGCAGTCAGCCCTGGGGACACACGGAGTGCCGGCCAGCTCTGCCAGGGTCCTCAGTGCCTCCTGTGCACTGGGCTTCTTCAGGCCCTTGATCCCGGGGACCCTGAGCCTTGCCAGAGGGCTTGGGAGGATGGAGAAGCAGCTCCTGTTCATTTTGTGTCCCGTGCCTCCCCAGGCAGGGTCCCTGGGACTGCCTAGCTGGCCAGTTACAGCCACAGTGCCCTTCCCCTCATAATTGCTTATGCACAGACCAAGCCCCGCCTCCATCTCTGCCCCTTCCCTTTTCCCATGTCCTTATTTTCATGACATAGGTTTCCTGTTATCCCAAACCTGTGGCTCTTCTATGGACTTTGTTCTTGGAGTATGCTTGTCTTCCTTTTATGGAAAATGTCCAACACAGAGAAGTAAAAGAACAACCATGCCTACCCTGGTCCAGGTGCCACCATCAGTCCACCATGCTGCTCGTCCACCCCAGCAGATGGCCTGTTGTGCACACAGCCACCATTTGCAAGTGTGCCCTGTGTGTCATCTTGCCATTCTCAGTGACCAGTTTTCCTTGTGCCTTCCTCTGACTTTGAGTTAGAGGCTTCATACTTAATTTCCACATTTGGGGATATTCCAGACACCTTCCTGCTACTGATTCCTAGCTTAGTTCTGATACTGCCTTTTAAGAACACAGCATGAGAAAAATACCATCATCTTTGTTTTTACCACCTGGTGAAACGCTGTGCTTTGAGGGACTTGCGCCCCCTCTCTGCAGTAGGAATAAAACCCTGGAAAGCTCCTGCAACCAATGCGGAGGCTCAGGTGGGACATGGACCCCAGCAGTGCAGCTCCCCAGAGAAGACTCCTGACTGCTTCTCAATCCAAATATAGGGCTACTGCCCTTCCTGCGGAAGCCAGCAGAAAAGCCAGGCTGCCACTAAAGGTCAGAGACCTACACTTTGTACCTGCCACCTCCGTAGCTGTTGCCTCTGCCCTACCAGTCAGGCTAGGCAGCAGCATGGTTCAACCAGCTACACCGGTTCAGGTGGAGCCTGGGATTTCCTGTGCCCATCTTGGGGACGAGGCTTCAAGGGCTGCCCTGAGGTGGAGGGCTCTGCTGCCCGTCATCTGTGGGCATTAGCCAAGCTTGCCCTTCCATTAACAGCCTTCTGAAACTGGCTGCAGGGCTTAGGGAGCGGTTCTGAGTCCCCATGTCCTGGTGGAGAGGGAGCATGAGGATGCCCAGTGACCGTGTGGAGGATGTTAGAGGGGTTCTTTGCCTTCTGGGAGGCTTGAGTGTGCTGTGCCAGCTGGACGGGGTTAGCAACAATGTGGAGCAAATAAGGCAGTGCCTCTGGCAGACTGCAACAGCCCCCTGAGCCCACCTGCCCTCCTGAGTGCCATGCGGTGGTCTGCCAGCCCTTGTATGGCCAGAGCATGTGCAGGCCAGACTGTGCAGTGAGTTCAGGGTTGGAGCCAAACTCCCTGCCTGTACCTATAGGCCTGACCATGGCTGCTGGAAAAGCCTCCTGAAGATTGTGTCCAGGTCAAAGTGGGCTGGGTAAGTGAACTGGCCTCCTCCAACCCCAGGAAGGTTTTTGACCTCCCACGATGCTAGGTGTCCATGAATCTGGGTGGCCCTAGGCAAATGGGCAAGCGGGAAGGCTTCTCTGCTCTCCAGAGGGTTTCTACTTCCCTCTGCCCTGCCCCTGGGTCTGCCCTGCCTGGGCGAATCAGAAATCAGGCCAGCAGGGACTGTTCCCTGTGGGTGGACTGGCGGGCCTCTGTGGTGTTAAACCAGAACCCATCAGGAAGTGCAGAGCCTCCCTCACAGGCTCCACCCTCTGTCCAGCCAGGACTGCCAGCAACATTTCAACAGGACACTCTGGAGGCAAGCCCACGGCCAGGACAGTCCTGCTGGCAGGTGGCTCTGCAAGACCCTGAGGTAGGCTCGGCTGGGGCCCTTTCTGAAAGGTGGCGGGGAAGACCATGGCACTCCTGCCCTGAACAATGCCTCAGAGCCTTAGCGACCATAGCCAGGGGCTCCACTGTTCTGCCCTGCCTTTCACAGCCTCTTGGTATATACATGTGCACTTTAGGGGAATGAATGATGAGAGTTCAGTGTGGGACCATGTGGCTTTGGGGCTAGAAAGGTGGGCAATAGGTCCAGAGTTCAAGGATTGTCCACAAAGACACTGAACTAGATGGTGACAAGATGCAGCAGAAAACTGAGAAATTCCTCAGAAGAACAACCATGTCTCTACAGCCAGGGACCAAACTCCTCTCGACAACACCAGTGTTTCCCAGGGGTTGGATGCTGTGTGCGGGGCCTGGGTCGGGGCTTGGTCTCCGTGGCAGAGGGAGGCACAGATGTGTGACTGTAATGGCTTCCATTGGCTCAGGCTTCACCTGTGCACACACAGAAGCAATGGGTAATTCCAACATAGGTGGTCCCCTCTTCTAGAGCTGGACTGACCATTCCCGAGTATGTGGCCCGGGGACAGGCCTCATCTGGACCCCAGGGATGACTGGTGCCCAGCACCTGAGAACTAAGAGAAGGAGCCACAGAAGCTTTCCCAGACCATGGGCGACACTGCCATCCCCTCTCAGTGTACCTGGACCTGTTGGGGGTGACAGACGCACCCCTGTGACAGTGATATTGGTAGCTGCCAGAGAGCTGTTGCATCATCGGCTGGTGGCTGGTGGAAGGATAGGAGGACAGGGGCCTGTTGGGGAATGAGGAAGTCCTACACAGCCTGGCTCCTTCACACAGCAAAGTAGGAGGGCCACCAGCCGACCTGCCTCTCACCCCAGCCTGGACACTGCCCTGCCAGGGTCCACAGCCACAAGAGGTGGTGCCAAGCAGGGCAGCCCCCAAGAGCAAAAGCTTCTCCCACCTCTCACTTTGATGGGTAGGAGGTGACCACCCCTATGGCACCAGGGCTTGTTGGGGTGTCCAGGAGCAGTGTTTAGAGGAAGATCATGGTTCAGAGGAGTGTATTCTCTTAGGCCCCACCCGTCCATTCCCTGACACTTACCCAGGTGACTTGGGAAGAGAGAAAGCTCAAGGTGCCAGAGAGGTAGGCAGGGACTCAAGAGAGATGAGGAGGGCTGGAGGGATGGTCAGAAGAGGAAGAGTCACTGTGCCTCTGCCATTCCCCTGGGAATTGGTCATAAAACCGGGGAGATGAGGCTGAGCCCCCCCCCCACCCCCGCCTCAGATGTCCTTGCCCGGAGCTTTGGCTGGGCACCACAGGCCCGGGTCTTAGTGTGGACTGACTGCTTGTGGAGAGGGTATCAGGAACGGGGTGAGAGCTGGGAGTTCACCTGAGCTGCTCCTCCAGCTGCAGCTGCTGGCCTGCTGAGGCCATGTCAGACTACGAGAACGAGGATGAGTGCTGGAGCACCCTGGAGAGCTTTCGGGTGAAGCTCATCTCAGTCATCGATCCCTCACGCATCACACCCTACCTGCGGCAGTGCAAGGTCCTCAACCCCGATGACGAGGAGCAGGTGCTCAGCGACCCCAACCTGGTCATCCGCAAGAGGAAAGTGGGTAAGGTACAGTTCTCCCCACCAGCAGGTTCTGGGCCCCCAGCTCCCCTAAAAGCCAGCCTGGGGTGACTGCATGCTCTGTCTCCCCATCCCACAGTGAGCTGCATGTCCATCCTGAGCATATAGATGGGACTCCCCCCACCCCCCTTCTATCTGCTGAGGGCAGGGACAGTGGGGTACCCATCACTGCTGAGACCCCTGAGAGGCAGTGGGGTGGTTGGGCAGCATTTTGTCCCCATGCTAGACCAAGACTGCTTCATCCAGTGCTCCAGACCACTCGGCCAGGTGGGGTCCATGTGGGGTGAGGGTGGAGGCATCTAATGCCTGGGGTCTCCTCCACTCAGAGTGCATTCCCCCTGAGGCCCTCACAGGTGCCTGCCACGACCCTAGCCTACCCTGCACCCCACCCTAGCCCCCAGCCCACCTCTTCTGCCTATAGGTGTGCTCCTGGATATCCTGCAGCGGACAGGCCACAAGGGTTACGTGGCATTCCTTGAGAGCCTGGAACTCTACTATCCGCAGCTGTACAAGAAGGTCACGGGCAAGGAGCCAGCGCGTGTCTTCTCCATGATCATTGGTGAGGGGTGCCAGGCGGGTTGCATTGAGGGTGAGGCAGGTATGGGGGTGGGGTGGGGTCATAACAGGCCCCACACCACCAGGCCTGCTATGAATACGCTGGGGAAGAAAATACTGTGTGTGAACCTTGCATGGGAAGGGCAGCAAAGATGGTGTGTGCCAGTAGGGTGGTGTCCCTGGTGGTTGCTCTTAGCCACTTTCAGGGTCTGGGTGCCCTGCGTGGTTGGGGTCCTGCTGGCCTCCATAATGGGAGCACCTGGAGAATGGGGCCCCTCTGTCCTCCCAGCCTGGGACTATTCACCCAAAAGCAGGTTTGACCCCTCTGAAGTCCCTGTACCCCAGGCCTCAGCCACTGCCGAAGGGCAGAATTCTGCAGTTTCCAGGAGGGCAGAGGAATGCCATCCTGACCAGATAGCCATGTCCAGTCTTTGTTCATCTCATTAAGATTCATTATAAAAGTAGACAAAGAGTGGTGGTCCAAGACTTGGTGCAGTGGCCCCTGCAGGGGAGTTAGAATCTGAAGTCCCTCTCTTCCACGAGGAGCAGCGGAATGGGCCTAGTAGGTGTACTCAGCTCTGAGGAAGCCTTCTTGTTCAGCTTTCTCTCTGTGAGAGTCCAGGAATGCCAACTTGCCAAGCTCGAGTTGCTGGTCCTCCAGGGCTGGACAAGGCCAAGGTGCAGAGCTCTGTGGGTGACTGCTGAGGGCTCCGTCTGACATGGCACTGCCCGGCCCACAGATGCATCAGGGGAGTCAGGCCTGACGCAGCTGCTGATGACCGAGGTCATGAAGCTGCAGAAGAAAGTGCAGGACCTGACAGCGCTGCTGAGCTCCAAGGATGACTTCATCAAGGAGCTGCGTGTGAAAGACAGCTTGCTGCGCAAGCACCAGGAGCGTGTGCAGAGGCTCAAGGAGGAGTGTGAGTCCTACGGCCGGGAACTCAAACGCTGCAAGGACGAGAACTATGACCTGGCCATGCGCCTGGCCCACCTGAGCGAGGAGAAGGGCGCTGCGCTAATGCGGAACCGAGACCTGCAGCTTGAGGTGAGGACATGCCCCAGAGCCAGGGAGTCCTGCTTGGCCCTGTCTGTGGGTGTGACCCAGCAAGCCCTGCTGCCGGGCCTAAAGGACACTGTGGTTGACTGGGCCATCTGCAGGTCGACCGGCTCAAGCACAGCCTCATGAAGGCAGAGGACGACTGCAAGGTGGAGCGCAAGCACACGCTGAAGCTCAGGCATGCCATGGAGCAGCGGCCCAGCCAGGAGCTGCTGTGGGAGCTGCAGCAGGAGAAGGCCCTGCTGCAGGCCCAGGTGCAAGAGCTGGAGGCCTCTGTGCAGGTGGGGCTGCCAAGTGCACACCAGCAGGGTCGCCTCTTTGAGCAGTGTGGGGAGGGTCCAGCAGGGCGGCACGGGCCTCCCCAGCCAGGCCATTGCCCTTCACCATCCTCAGGAGAGGAAGCTGAACAGGAACAGCCCCTACATCCAGGTGCTGGAGGAGGACTGGCGCCAGGCACTGCGGGACCACCAGGAGCAGGCCAACACCATCTTCTCCCTGCGCAAGGACCTTCGCCAGGGCGAGGCCCTCCGCACCCGGGTACGAGCATGGGGCAGATGGACACCGGGCCTGGGGAGGCCAAGCCAGTGGCCACTGGGACCTGCATGGAAAGCAGGTTTTGGGATTTCCACTCAACACCTTTCCTTCACCCACTCCTGGAGATGTAGCCCTCTTGTGCCCACCCCTTGCCCGTGTTCCCTGTGGCCAAGTGGTGGCCATGGTCTCTGAACCTGGCCTGCTGTGGTCTGTGGTCCCCTCATCCTAACTGGCTTGACCATGTGTGCCCGTGAGTTCTGGCCACCGTGGGGCCAGGTGGTGAGGGTGACTGGGGCTGAGCAGCCACCCTCCTACAGTGCATGGAGGAGAGGGAGATGCTTGAGCTGCAGTGCCTGGCTTTGCGCAAGGACTCCAAGATGTACAAGGACCGCATCTCGTCCATCCTGCAACAGATGGAGGAGGTCGCCATTGAGCGAGACCAGGTAGGTGCCACATGTGCATGCAGAGATGAAGATGCAGGAGACAGGAGGGAGCCATTCCCCATCCATATGGGCCTGCAGAGTGACAGCTTTGGGACAGTGGTCAAAGGTTTTTTTTTTTTTTGGAGGTACTGGGGGTTGAACTCATGACCTTACACTTGCTAGGCAGGTGCTCTGTCACTTGAGCTATGCCCCCAACCCTTTTTGCATCAGTTATTTTTTGAGTTAGAGTCTCACATTTTCTGCCTGGGCCATCCTAGACTACAATCCTCCTAGTTAGACCTCCTGCCACCATGCCTGATAGCTTTTTGCTTGGGCTGGCCTTAAACCCACTGGCCTAGCTTGGTCAACGCATTTTTAAATGACAAAGGTGATGCATGCTTATTTTAAAAATGCAAACAAAAATGTAAGGTGGCTCAAGCCTGTAATCCTAGCTGTTTGGGAGGATCATGGTTTGAGACAAGGCCAGGAAAAAATTTTGTGAGCCACCCCCCCTCTCCATCCCAACCAATAGCCAGGCATGATACCACTTACTGCCATCCCAGCTACCACAGGAAGTATAAAATAAGAGGGTCATGGTTCAGGCTGAGGGGGCTGGGGTGGGGCAGAGCAAGACCCTATCTCAAAAATAACCAGAGGAAAAAGGTTGGAGGTATGGCTCAAGCAGTAGAGCATAGAGCCCCTACCTGCCTAGCAAGTGTGAGCCCAAGTTCAAACCCCAGTACCACAAAAAAACTAAAAAAAGAAAGAAAACAATAATGAAGTTAAGAAGTTAATACCCCTTCTCTTCAGCTGCAGCCCACTCAGCCCACTCACCTTCCATTACCTCTGGACCCTCGCTTCCAGACCTTTCTCAACACTGCATTTGTAGTTTTGTCGTAGACATCTTGTTTTATAGAAACGGAAGCTTTCTATATATTTTGTTTTACAAGTAGCTTTTTTAACTTAAAAGAAATCTGAGGCTTTGGCTGGCTGTATTCCTACGAACAGAACCGGTCATTCTAGTCAAAGAAGATGCTTCAGCCAGGTGGTGCTGGAGGTCACAAGGCAGTGTGTTTCAGGAGCCTTGAGCTATAGATTCCTGGAGCCACACAGTAGAGGTGGGAAAACTTGCTAGTGGAAGAGGAAGTGTCTAGCTGTACCCTGATGGGGTTGTTGGCCGGGGAGCTGGTGTTGGTTCCCAGGCACAGGGTACTCCTGAGTGTCGGGGAGCACCGTCGGCTCTGTCCAGGTGGTCCAACCATGCCCTGGCCGAGTCTTCCTTTTGCTTAGGGCTTCATACTTACAAACAGGTGCTCCTGCTTGTGTGGTTGTTTGAGCCACACCTCCATTCCATTTTGCTCTGGTTATTTTGGAGATGGGCTCTCATGAACTATTTTCTCAGGCTAGCTTGGCATCACAGTCCTCCTGATCTCAGTAATTAGGATTACAGGCAGGAGCCACTGGTGCGTGGCTTGCCCTGGACACTTGATGGCCTCCCACTCTGTTTGCTGTGTATGTGTGGTGTGAGGGGGCGCATCAGGGTTCTGTCCTTATATGTAATCTGTCCCTCCTCTGCTTGCACATCCATCTCTCACACTTTAGGGTCCCCCAGTGAGGGCCAGGCATGTACAAGCATGATGTTCATTTTAGGGACTCTTAAACAGCTATTGATGGGTTTTGATCATTGAGCATGGAGATTTTATCTTCTTGCTTTTTTAACCTGTCACCGCTTTCCATTGTGAGCTTCCATTATTTTGACAATCCCCCACCTCCAATGCCGATTGCCGAAAAGGAACAAAGAAGGAAGAGGCCTACGCTGGCCGGTGCTGTGCAGCCCTGCCAGGAACGCTGCTAGTGGTCAGGGACTGTGCTGTGAAAGGAGCGCCAAGAGCCTAGGAGAAAGGTGAATGGCCTTGTTCCCTGTTGAGGCATGTTCTGTGCTGTCCCCATAGGCCATGGCCTCTCGGGAGGAGCTGCATGCACAGTGTGCCCGGAGCCTTCAGGAGAAGGATGAGCTGCGCAAGCAGATCCGGGAACTGGGGGAGAAGGCTGACGAGCTGCAGCTGCAGCTGTTCCAGTGCGAGGCCCGGCTGCTGGCTACCGAGGGCAGGCTCAAGCAGCAGCAGCTGGACTCGCTCGTCTTGGTGGGCCTCTGGCACGGGGGGCAGTCCTGCAAGTGCAGCACCATGACCCTGTCTGGGGGGCTGTGAGGGACCTGGGTGGGACATGGGGCAGGCCCATCCCCAGAGAGGCTGTGCAGCCTCAGGGCAGCCCTGGTCCGGTCCTGGCATGGCCAGTGCCCTGCTGGTAGTCTCAGCAAGTCCCTAGGCCTGCAACACTCTTTCCCAATGTGGAGTCTGCTCATTCTCAAAAGTGCCCTCCTCATGGTGGAATGAGAGCTGTAGATGTAGCTCAAGGCCCAAGCAGCAAATGGAACTGCTGGACAGTGGCTGTGACCAAGTGCTGACCCTCAGGTGGACTGGTAGGGTGGAGATGTTGAGGAGGAGGAGGATAGGCATTCTGGGCAGGGGCTTGCAGAGAGGGGGCTTCCTCAAGATTGGGGCTAGACAGAAACCCTTACCATGCCCGGCCTACCCTATGCCTGGGCTCAGAGCTCCCACAGCCTGCTGACTGGCCCCTTCTCTGTGGCCACAGAGCTCTGACCTGGAGGACAGCTCACCCTGCAATTCCCAGGAGGTGAGTGTGGCCCCAGAGTGGGTCCAGGGCAGGCTCCCCCAGGACTCCCGAGACCACGGCCCCACACTCATCCCTCATAGGGTCCTGCTTTCCTGAGCTGGGCAGTCCCCTCTTCTGTGGGCTGAGCAGAGGCAAGAGTGCTGGCCTTTGTTTGCTGGAGGTAAAGTGAGGTGAGGGCAGTGCCCGCTCGCTGGCCCTCCATTTGGAGCTTCATGGCCAGGCTCCCTCTACTTTGCCTGGCCTGGCTGGGGACCCTGAGTGCCTGAATTCTATGGCAGTCGTGGCTGGGCCTAGCTGAGTGACAGGAGCTGGGCCAACTGGGTGGGTCATGTCCTTTCCTGGAGGGACAGTGGCAAAAGGCTTAACTAATGTCCTGTCTCTTCTTTGGAAGCTCTCACTGCCCCGGGACCTGGAGGATGCCCAACTCTCAGACAAAGGTGAGTAGGCAAGGGGCACACCATGCACTGCATGGGGAAACTGAAGCTTAGTACAATGAGTTATCAGGCCAAGGACACCCAGACAGCAAGGAGAGAACAGGATTCAAACTTGGGGTCCAGTTGGTGGGGTCTGTGGCCAAGCAAGGACAGGTTGCCCATGGGACAGCAGGAATGCAGAGTCAGACAGGGCTGGCCCCCCACCCTACCAAACTTCCTCCTGCAGAGAGAGGCAACAGTGAGCTAAGGTCCAGATGCACCTGGCGAGAAAGTGAGGACAGGATTGTAGATGCACCAGCTACACACAGCACTGGGCTGCCAGGCAGAATCCCTCCTTTGCTCATTTTATACCTGGATTATTATCCTAAAGGCAGGACTTGAGGGGCTGATCATGTCAGGGACGGTGTCCCCAGAGGTCATGAGGATCTGGGGAGGGTTCTCCTCTAAAGGCGTGGGTCAGGTAGAGGTGGAACAGGCCCACTGGAGGGAGGAGGAGGGGCCCCTGGGAGGGAGGTTGCGTGGGAAGTCAGACTTCCTCAGTGCAGCCTGACCCCATCCTCTAAGCAGAGGCAAAAAGGGAAGAAGCAGTAGTGGATGGAGAAGTAAGGGGCTGGGCCACCCGCCACAGCCCTAAAGACAGAACTTGAGGCCACCAAGCCTGATTTGGACACAGAGGTGGGAGGACCCAGGAGCCAGCTGGTACTCCCTTTCTGCCTGAGGGGTCTGAGTCTTGGCCTGCCCAGGCCCTGATGTATTCTGAGAGGTCCAACCATCTGGAATATTCAGATCTGCTGCTAACTGTTGTAGTACACTTATCCTTGCCTCCAGAGGCCCAGGATCCTCCACTGTGGCCACTGCCACCATGCGCCTGGGAGCCACCATCCCTGAGAATGCTGCCCAGTGACCAGGGACTCGGCTCAGCCTGTCCAGGCTGGGGCACAAGTGGGCGAACTGTCCTGCGGTCCAGGGTCCTTCCTGTCCATGTGCCCTTGGTTGCTTGAAGGCAGCCAGCTTGGGAGGCTGGGGGTTGATAGTAGCAGTGCTGACCTGCGTGGAGGAAGGCAGAAGAGACAAGCAGGGCTTCTAGATGCAAAGCCCTCAGTGGACCCACCGGGGCATCTCAGGAGATCTTCCACCACTGGTCCAGGATGGTGCCTTTGTGCTGCGGGCAGGGGAGGTAGTAGCCATGCTGGCTGTGGGCAGGACCCACAGGTACAGTGCTCCTTTCCAGGTGGCCAGGCTGATGGGGAGAGTGCGGAGCAGCCCCTTGTGGCTCTGCAGAAGGAGCAGCTTTCACTGACCCCCCACGTAAGGCTGCCTGGGGCCCTGCTGGCCTCAGTAACTGCTCTCAGGGAGCGGGGAAGCCTCTACCTGGACCCTGTCCCAGGGGTCCCTGAACAGCTGGGAGGATCACAAGGTCTTTGCAGGGGGTGGGACTCCTCCCTTAGAGACACAGACTTGGGGCGGGGCTTGGAAGGTAGGGCAGCCGCGAAAGGACACCCCCTTTCTGGCCTCTTGGGGCCTTTGCCGCTGATGCAGCATTTACCTGAATGGGAATGAGGCTGCCTTGCCCCACTGCACAGGAGTCCTCGAGCCAGAGGGTCACGTGCTTTGTAGTAGCAGGATCCCGGGCCAGAGCCGGCTGGCCAGAGGGCAGCCCCATGTCCTGTCACCTTGGGTGCAGCAGGACCCATGGCTAGGTGGGCTCGGCCTCCCACCAGTTGAAGTCCCAGTGTGGGAAGGCCTTGCTCCTCTGCAGGAGGGCCCGAGCGGCGGGGAGCCCCCGGAGAAGGAGAGGCGGCGGCTCAAGGAGAGCTTCGAGAACTACCGCAGGTGGGCAGGCGGGCAGGCGGGCAGGCGGGCAGGCGGGGCGGCCTGCGGGCAGCCAGGCCCACCTGCCCACGCCCCGCCGCATCCCACAGGAAGCGGGCGCTCAGGAAGATGCAGAACGGCTGGCGGCAGGGCGAGGGGGACCGCGGCAACACCACCGGCAGCGACAACACGGACACCGAGGGCGCCTAGCTCGTCGGGACTTCCCGCCTGGGGCCTCCGGCGGCCTTCGCAGGCCTTCGCGCCGTGGCTGACCTAGCCAGGGCGAACGAGCGCGCACCGATCTAATTTTGAAAGGATGCTCTGTTTTTATTGTACGTTACACACGTGTTGCAAAAGTGCTGGAAAATGGAGCTAAGCGAATAAAAATGACCACGTCGGGGACGCAGAGCCGAGTGGTGGCGCCGCAGTGCGCGAGGAAAGGCGCCAGGGGGCAACAGAGTGCAACGCGCCCCGGCCGGCGGAAGGAAGCCCAAAAATGGGTGTTTCCGCTTGCGGTGCCCGGTTCCAAGATGGCGGGCTCGACCTCGTCGGGCGGGGCGGTGCCAGGAGGGGCGGCTGGGGCAGTAGAGCGGGATGTGGCGGACGGCGCTGGGCCGCGTGCCGACACTGCTGTGGAGCGGACGACCCCGTGGGCCAGGCCTGAGGCGGCTGTGGGGCCAAAGGAATCCCTCGAAGGTCGCGGGAAGGCGACGAGACTGGGGCTGGCGGCGCTCGACCTCCGGGCCGGGGCCCGCGGCGGCTCTCGGGCGTGTGGAGGCGGCGCACTACCAGCTTGTCTATACCTGCAAGGTGGGCGCGCGTAGGGCGGGGCGACCTCACCTGGTGCCAGAGGACGTTGCGGAGGGAGTTGGGGGGAGGACCCCGGAGGGGACCTTCCAAGGGGGCGGGGCTGGAGGCGTGGCGCTATCCGCGGGGCGGGACCTTCCGAGGGGCGGGGCCTCCCGAGGGGCGGGGCTATCCTTGAGGGACGGCGTTCAGGGAAAGGGGTGGGGCTGGCTCTCTGGAAAGGGCGGGCCTATCCCTCAGGGGGTGGGGCCATTCCTCAGGTGTCAGGCCTTCTGGGAAGGAAGGGGCGTGGCGTGCTGTAAGGGGTGGGGTTGTCTCTTGGGGGCGGGGCTAGTCCTCAAGAGGCAGTCTTTCCTGGGAGGGGCCAGGCTGGTGGGCTCCTAGCCTAACCAGCTCTATGTCCTAGCTAGGTCTGTGGAACTCGGTCCTCCAAGCGCATCTCAAAGTTGGCCTATCACCAGGGTGTGGTCATTGTGACTTGCCCTGGCTGCCAGAACCACCACATCATCGCAGACAACCTGGGCTGGTTCTCCGACCTGGATGGAAAGAGGTGAGGCCACCTGAGTGGGTTGGGGGATGGAGGTTCATACCCTAGGATGGGTCCAGGTCCTGGACCACAAGCCCAGCAAGAACATACACCTGGCCTCCCTGGGGCGCCCTTGCCTAGCTTGGGTGTCTCTGGATCCTACCTGGCCAGCCCAGCCTCCTTGTCCATGCCGGGTCACACAGTTAAGTTGGAATATCAGATAAATTCTTTTTGAATAGCTTTTTGGTATCAGTGTGCCCCTCAAATGTAGCAGCTACACATTGGCCAGCCTGGGCTCTGCCTTGATGCCTGACCTCTGCCCTCTCTGACAACCTTGACACTTTCTCTGTGAGCCTCATCTCTACTGACTCAGGATGCCAGAGCCACAGAGATGGGAAGGTGTGATCTGGTGGTATGGACTGGGCCTTGGCCTGAAAGGCAGTGGAGGGGTGTCAGAAGCTAGCCTTGCCACCCTGATGGGGGTCCTGGGTCATGCATTCTGGCTTCTGAGCTCCCCGTCCTCGTGTGAGTGTGGGACAGTCACAGCAGTGCCTAGTAGAGCTATGAAGGGCCAGTGTGCCACTGGTGTGTGACCCTTGGGCTGTTGACCAAGTCCCGTCAGACCTGAGCTGTAGACACGGGGGATGGAGCAGGACTGCAGGAAGGGTCACCACAGTGGCACTTCCACAACAGGGGAGATGGCATGTTGTCTTTGTTTCTTGGTTCCTGAGGTAATGCTTGCTGGCAGGCACATGTGACTGTCACGGGGGTTGGTGAAGGCATGCATGGTGCCTGTATGGCCCTGATGTCACCCAGGCACTAGACTGGCTCCCAGTTGGAGCTGGCCATGGGGTGCCCTCCAGGAGACCAGGTACAGGAGTGATGCTGCCTCTCTGTCCTGCAGGAACATTGAAGAAATCCTGGCAGCCAGAGGGGAGGAGGTACGCCGGGTAGCTGGTGAGGGAGCCCTGGAATTGACTTTGGAGACTGAGGGGGCTTCTAGCCCTGCTACTGCCTCGGAAGCGGGTGAGGGTGAAGATCCCACCCACCCTGACCAGATGGAACGGAGCTGACTCTAGTGGTCCCTCGCCTGTGGACTCCCTGCCTTCCAGGAAGATGCTACATTCAGCCCCAGCCTCTTGGACTCCTGTTTCCTGTCAGTAAACAGATGTGACCTCTATGCTTTACTGCCTTTCTTTTCTGGAGGCAGAATGACTACCCCAAGCCCCCCTTGCAGCTGCAGGACCTCCTGCTTCACTGTCATCTCTCTTACAGAGGAATCACCTCATACTTGCCCATAGCAGGGTGGTGTGCAGGTAGGCAGAAGGCTGGACATGGAAGCAGAACATGTGTGGTGTTGGCAGGTCACTGTCTCTCTCAGGCCTGCCTTCCTTGTGTCACCAGGCTGCTTATGGTGGCAGTAACTATGCTTAGGGGCTTGGAAGGGAAGTGTGAGCCAAATGAAGTTTCCAGGGTCCTTGGACCTTGTGATACTGCCTGTCAGAGCCTCAGACTCTCCAACCCCCTTCCTTGCCATGTGGTTTGTCTCTGGCTTTGTTTGACTCTCCTGCAGGATGTTCCTGTGTTTAGGGAAGCAAGCAGACGCAGGATGGTTTGTTCCTAGAAGTGTTCTGGCCATGTGACCGTCAACATTAAACACCAGCCATGTCTGGCAAGGAAAGACCTGGGTTGTGAGAGGGTGGAGACGGCAGCTGAGTAGAGTGTGACAGGGACACAATGTGGCCCCTTCCCCACAGGACCCAGCTAGTGATTAAGCTCACACCCGGCCGTGGGAGGCTGCGTGCGTTTGTAGTTTGTGCCTTGCTTAGATTACCCCATCCTTCCCTCAGCTAACAACCTGCTATTATTCCCACCCAGAGCCTCCTGTGCCATTGTGGAAACCCACTGTCCTCGAGGCTGAACAAGCCCCCCACCCCCGCCTGCTCTTCCATGGAGGGCACTGAGGTCATAGAGAACCAGCTGGGGTTTCCTTGGTGGGGGAAGGAAGTACAGGAGGCCAGTGGGGCTGGACCAGGCCTAGGCACCTCACTGCCACAGAAGGTCTAGACCAGTGTCTGCAAAGGCCTGGGTGCTGAATGGACCTGAAAGTGTAGAATGGATCCAGGAGGCCTGCTCTTCTGGATGGGGACACTGAGGCCTATAGCTTGGACATGTGGATTCACATCTTTTCTGTATTCTGACGCTCTACGTCTGGGGTTTTGTAGGGCTCCTCCCAGGATGGCTCACTCCTAGACAGTAGAGCCCTTCCAGCACACCCCACCTTCCATCTGCAACCACCGACACAGCTTTGTCTCACCCTGCTCTGTAGACCTACATCTGGATGCGCTGCCCTGCCCTCCCCACCCCACAGCCAGGCATCTGATGATTCCGAGCACCCCCTATGCCCAGGCCCCCCTGGAAGTGTTCAAACCAGACAATTATAAGCTGCTTTCACCTCATCCTTGTCCCTCCCACTCCATAGAAGCCACAATAAAGACCTCTGCCCACATCCCCTCCTCCACCAGCCCAGCACTTCCCACATGGCCCCATGGCACGGCTTGCCCTCCTCTTGGCAGCCGCCTCCTGCTGTTGGCCTCCCACACCTGAGCAATAACAGCCTGTCTGGAAGCAGTGTGGCTTCTCTGGGGCAGCCTTGGCCTGGGTTCTGCTAGCCCCTCCCTGGGCTGCCTCCTTTAGCCCCAGCCAGGGTCAAATCAAGGGTGTCTGTTCCCTTGATGTGAGCACTGTGGGGTGCTGCCTGCCACATGAGCACTGAGGATGAAGCTGGGGCTGCTCCAAGCTCCTCCACTGTGTCCACAGCTGGATCCACAACCCCATGGGGACTCCTGGCCTGGGACAAAACTCTGTGGTTTTGGTTGGGCAGCAGCAGGCCGTGCGTGGACAGCCACAGGGGCTGGCCAGGTGCGGAGAGGCTGCCTGCCATTCCATTGTGCTGCATCTTGCCCCTGCCTCCTGCTTCTGGGAAGCTCAGACAATTGAGGGAGGGACGTGAGGATCAGAGGTGAAGGTCTTGGCTTGGAACACCTGGGCTCTGATGGCAGGGGTCTGCTTAATCCCTGAATCCCAGCCCCCCACCATTAAATACAGCAGGTACCTCACATCCCTTGGGCTCTGGTGACCAGTCAGCAGGTATTCGGGGATGGGCACGGATCAGGTCAGGTCAGCCCTGGAACCCCTGGAGAGCCAACCTTCATTCCCTAGCACAAATCCCAGCAGGACCCACATTTATTTTGCAGACTTTATTTTTTTGGGAAAAAAAGAAACGTACCTCTCGGGTTGGAAAGGACCCACCAACGACATGGCAAACACGTGAGCAATAAATACACATGTACATTCAAGTATGCAGGTGGCTACCGCCTCCCGAGACCCTGCGCTCTGATTCTGCCTCCACCCTTGGGGTCAGAAGAGGGGTCCCTACACAGAGCCTGGGGGTGGCCCTCAGTCTCCCTTGCCCTAGTCCTGCTCCCAGGCTGGCGGGGTCAGGCCCCTCCCTGGCTCAGAGTACGCTGGGCAGCTGTACTCTGGGGGCCATGGGGCAATGCACTGACAAGCCAACAGCAAGTGGACCAGAAGGGGAGCCTGGGGGTCCCACAGGGGGCTGAGGCAGGTTCTCTGCAACAGCAGAGTGCCATGCTCCCTGAGGGGCCTGTCTCACAGAGGCTCCAGTAGGTCCTGCCTGAGTCTTGGGTCCCAAGTGTAGTGTCCTGTGAGCTGACTGGACGCTTCCCCAGGGAGAAGGTTGTGATGTCACCTCCCCCAGCTGGTGGTGTGGTGCTCATTTGGGGAATCTAGAGGGCCCAGTTGAACTGAGTCCCCCTCTGGTGCCATCACCCACTGCTAGCCAGCATCCTAGCACCAGGCCCTGCCTGTGTTCTTGGCCTGAAGGCCAGGTGAGCTTAGGGGCTTGGAGTTTAGGATCGAGAGCCCCTGCCCCATCCTTCCCTCTGCTATAGACAAGGCAGGGCCCTCCTCAAAGCGCTGTGGGCCCAGAATGGCACACCACAGCCCAGGGCTCTGGTGGCACTTGCCTGCCCTACTGCCTCTGTGGGCTGCCTGGCCAGGCTTTCTCCTCCTACACTGGGACAAAAGTAGAGAAGACAGGCTGGGAGAGGACCCATCCTGGCAACTGGGGACCGAGGGCATTGAGTAGATCTGCATGGCCATCCCAGGGCCAGCTGGAGGCAGGACACACCCATGTCAGTGGAGTCCCCAGAAGTCTTTGGAGACCCCTGTGGGGTTGGGGAGGTGGCATGGTTTCACATTTGGCAGGGCAGGACAAAGCCCAGGAGGGGAGGTCTGGGCAGCACCGGGATTTGGGGCTGACATGCTGAAGGTCCAGCCTGGGTCAGGGACAGGGCAGAGCCAGGCTTGCAGGAAGCCATGGACCATGTAAGGACAGAACATACCCTCCCCCACATAAGCGGCTCTGACCTGAGCCTGCCACCCTGGGGAGGGGCATGCCCAGAGTCCGGCTCAGCAGGTAGGGCCAGGGGCTCAGAGCCGACCTTCAGCCATGGCCTTGGGGTGATTCGGCTTCTCGGGACTGTGGCCATGGTGGACATATCTGAGCCCCCAGAGTCCAGGAGCAGGGGCGGGGTAGGTCTGGGCCTGAGCATGGGTGCAACACCTTAGCTGGTGCCAGGCTGGCACTGCTGCTGGGGATCAGGAGGCCCACTGGCTTCCTGTTCTGGGCTGCCAGCAAGGTCCACACGCTGTTCATCCATTCGCTTGGCTTGCACCCTCTGGATAAGGCTGAAGAAGTCCTCATCTGGCATAGTGGGGCCTCGGGGCAGAACGTCTGGTGGTGGACAGCGCTGGTCATCAATCCTGGAGGACTAGGCAGACATGCATGCAGGTTGGTGCTCTTGCTCTCCCCAGGCCCTTGGAGGGCCTATCCTAGTTACCTGGGCCCAGTGGACAGCAGGTTCACCACTGACCATCCCAGGGCAGTAGGCACTGGCTAAACAGAGCTGGTCCAATCTGGGTGGGACCTGGCTAGGCCACTAAAGGCCTCTTTATGTCCACCTGCCTGACTCTGGAGTGATGTTGGGAGCCCTGGACCTGACAGTGTCTCCTGGGGGCTGTATGTCCCCCAGAACCTGAGGTCAGCCCACCAACAAGGAGCCAGATGAGATCTGCTGAGCACGGAGTAAGCCAGGCCTAGGAGGCAGCTGCTAGGCCAACCCTGCTCCCAAGACCTGATGACCCCCAGGGAGTGACAGGGTACAACTTTCCCTCGGCACTGCTGGGGAACCTGACTCAGCCCTGGACTCCAGTGGGCCTGGAGCTCCAGTTCCTGCAGTGTGGAGCTCCCCAGAGATCCCCTTTGAGTCATTTGGCTGACCCCGGGGCCCTCCCTGCCCTGGCATTGAGGCTGAGTAGTCTGAGGAGCTTCTCTGCAGGGCCTGGAGCAGAAGGGATGGGAGCCGGTGCAGCTGCTGGCGCAAGCGTGCAAGTGGACGGGGGGCTCTGGACTTCTTGGAAGGAGCTGGCTTAGAGGCAGCTCGTTGGACGCCTGGCCCATGGCTGTGGTTCCGTCTCCTCTGTGGGAATGAACATCAGGTCTGGAAACATCTGGCTGTGTGCAGGCCTGGTGCAGCTGCAGCCCCACCCCCACCCCAGCCATACTCCTAAATATCCTGACCCCAAAACCCCACCACTGTCTGCTGAGGGATGCTGGACCCAGTGAGGGCCAGTCCCCTGCACCTCCAGGCCTGGGTGGGCAGTTCAGCTCACCAGCACCCCTGTCCTGCCTACCCCACCATGCAGGTGGGGCCCATGGCTGGCCCACCCTGGTCATGCCTCTCCCTGCAGACTGGTCCCCTGCCCTGCTCTCTGTCCATTGTGTGTGGTTCCCGTTGGGGCATTCCTGCCTTTGTTCTCCCAGCCAGCCAGCTAGCAGCCCCAGGGTTTCCTTCTCTTCTGACTCTGGGGTGCTATATGGTTCTTGGTTTCCTTTATCTACATGTGGAAGCTGGAGGGGATCCCCGAAGCCATGGCTTTGGGGACCTGGCGACCCCCCTCTGAACTCCTTTACCATAAGGGGCGGTGGAGCCTGAGGGTGTCCCAAGGCTGCCTTTGCAGGAACTCTCATCTCCTCAGCAAACAGAGGCTCCCAGGAAGGAGGTTCTGGCCTGAGCACCCATAGATGTCCAGTGACTGGTCATGCATGAGTCCATTTGCCCCTCAGACACAGCCTGAGACAGAGGGACCAGCCCACTGCAGCCTGCCAGGTGCCTGCGCTGCATGAGGGCCAGTACAGGGCTGGGCTGCAATAGCAGCCTGGACGAGGCTGGAAAAATGCCCCCGCCTCCAGGCCTCTCCGGGGTGCAGGCCCACCTGGTACTTGATAAGCATGTTGAAGAATTCATCTCCTGGCTCCTGGGGGTCCCCGTCGCCCCGGAGGTGCCCCACGTTGTTGTGGGTGATACGCAGCCCGGGCAGGCTGCCCACGCTGGCCCGCTGGTCATCCAGCCTGCGGCTCTGGGAACTGGCGATGAGGTCAAAGAACTCCTCGGTCTGGGGGGAGGCTGTCATCGAGGGCTGAGCTGCAGGGGACAGAGTGAGGCCTAGGAGCGTACCTGCGGGGGCCATGGGTGCGCTGAGGAAGGGGCCCACAGAAGGGTCAGGCCTCACGCTGAGCAGGCTTGTGGGAGTGCTGAGTACGTTCTGCTGAGCCCCCGGGGACATGAGCCTAGTGGCATCTCCACTGACAGGCCCTGAGCTGCTCTCAACTGTCCTGCCCGCCATGGCTCCTACTCCCGCCTCCTGGGGCTTCCAGGAGGTGACAGAAGAGTCTTGGCCTCCCACGCACTAAGAGGCAGCGCTGCATCCTGCATGTTCCGGGGGGTGGGGTAATTATATGCTTCCCAGGATGCAGCTTTGGGGACAAGTGAGGAGGAAGCTTTCGGTGACAAGGGGCACTTTGCAGCTGGCCTGTCCTGCCCTTCAGGGCCTACTTGGCAGGACTCACCAGGATCAGTACTGGGTGCAGTCTAGCGGTGGGTGCGTGGTTAAGAGGCCACCACCCCACATGGGGCAGGGCTGTGAGCCCTGGACCTTGTACTCACCGGCCCTCTCCTCTGGGGTGGGGGCGGCCGTGGCCTCAGCAGCCCCTGCCTGACCCTCCTCCAGGGGACAGCGCTGGTCGTCCATGCGGCTGCTCTGGAATTTGCTCAGCAGGTCAAAGAAGCACTCCTCATCCGAAGACGGGGCCCTGGGGATGCTCTGGGTTGGGGGACAAAGGTGCCACTGCAGCTCCACCCCTCAGGTACACAGACGCTGCATTTCTGACTGCCGGGTCAAGGTGAGGACCCTCTCCTTGCTCTCCTCTTTCCATGGCACCCAGTGTGTGTCCACTTTTCCCTGCCTCCTGTCCCCACTCCTCTGCCGCCACCTCAGGCCAGCCTTTGGTTATCCCCTGCCTTACTACTGCTGCCCCTGCCTGGGCCACCCGCACCTGCCACCCCTCCCAACCCTCTTCCAGCCTCAACTTGGAATGCTCCCCAGGCTGATCCAGGCCAGTAGCTGCCACCTCCAGGAAGCCTCCTGGTGCACCCACCCCACCATGGTCCCGTCAGCTCCTTCACCCAGCTTCATGTGTGCCTGGCCCCTAGCACAGCACTTTGCAGAGTATGCTGGATGAGTGGACATGTGGCCAGGCTTTCATGGGCAGGGGTCTGGGTGGTCACTGAATATATGGCACTGATAACTGACAGATCCAACAGTCTCAGCAACCTCAGGTCACATCATCAAAGGCAAGGAGCCCCAGGCAGGGAAATGAGGGTTCCTGTTTTTGTCCCTTTCTGAGTTTGGGCGACATGTTTACAAGGTCCTGGACCAGTGGGCAGGCCCAGAGAACAGCAGCTGCATAGGGGTCAGGACCCTGGGGCAGGAGAGAAGCCACTAATACTCCCCAGAACCTCCCTCTGTGAGTTGGCTGAGGCAGGAATCTGGGTAGCCAGAGGGCAGAGCCTGGGCCCCTGCATGGGGGACCCAGGAGCATAGGTCTAGTGGGTGGACAGATAGAAAATACCTTGAACAGCAGCTGCTCTCCTACTAAGAGCTGGCCCTGGAGCAGGGGAAGCTTCCGAGGGTGCATAGGCTCCCTGCCCCCAGGCTCTGGCCAGCCGCTCCTTTTGTCCCCACAGAAAGATCCATGTCTACCCAAGGCTATACCTGCCACTGGGGCTGCTGTGCTGGGCTCTGGAGCCCTGGGTCAATAGGTGGACGGCAAGGACTCAGAACTGCTGTCAGGGAGTGAGCAGCCTGGCAGTTTAGTCTGGGTCTGGGCCTGACCTGACCCGAGGTGATCCACCATGGCAGGGTCTCAGTGGGAAGAAAGGAGTGGCTCCAGGAGGGGCTGCTTCCAGACGGAGGAGGTAGAATATGCAAAGCCTGAGACCAGGTCCTGGGCTCCCAGTGCCAAGTGACCTTAGGCAAGCCTGCTCCACCCTGGGCCTCCCTGTGGTGGAGGGTGTGATCTCTTGGGGCCTCCTAAGGGGCAAGGCCAGCACAGGCCAGCACTGAACCCCCTCCCTCAATTGCCTGTCCTGGACCCCAGGGCCAGCAGTGGGTACAGCAGGTTTCAGAGCCCATCTACCTTCCAGGTGGAACCAGTGCACCTTACCCTAGTCCACCACTCTCAGCTGGCTGCAGGCCTCTGCGGGACTACACAGAACCAGAACAAGTGCACAAGCGGGAAGGCCAGCTATGCAAAGACATTGCCCACTGAGTGCCAGACCTACACCCAGATTCCTGCTACCCGGAGCTCCCAGTGTCCAAGAGACAGCCCCATGCACAAAGGAGGCAGGGGCACAGAGAGGTCGTGTGACCTGCCCAAGGTTACACAAAGGCAAGAGCAGAGCTAGGATTTGAAGAACCCTGTTTTAGGACTGGACTCAAGTCTCTGACGGCAAAGGGGACCCAGCAGAGGAGCTGTGGGCAAGCCAGGGCAGCCACACCGGTACAGAAGAAAGAGACTCCACTGGACTCCAGGCCCTCAGGTTGACCCCCCAACTCCATTCCAGGCTTTGTCCTTCTGCAGCCTGACTCAGGGCTGCAGCCCCTGCCCTGCCAGAGCTGGAGGAGGGTGGGGAGATCTGGCTTGGAGGGACCCAGGCCAGGAAACTGGAACTTTGGCTGAGCCTTCTGACCTGCAGGCCCAGGTGGGGTGCTGGTCAGTCAGCCCGCATCTGCCGGAAGGAGGCAGACTTCTGACTCAGAAGAGAACTGCCCCAGGTTTGGCCCAAGCTGTGCTCCAGCCAGTGGGCCACTCAACAGGGCTTCCCAGGCCTCTCAACAACCCTGGACTGCTCCAACCTTCCCCTGGGCTGAGCCTTGGGGTTCAAAGGATGCACTTGAAGGAGGGCCCCTCCTCACACCCCCACCCACTCATGAGGCTATAAGATGTGGCAGCAGAGCTAGCTAAGGGCCCCAAAAAAGGGTCAGCCTTGCCCTCCATCCTTGACATTCTCCTATAGGCTAGCCTGGAGCCACCTCTCCAGGGTTAATGCAACCCTTCCATACAAGGTGGGGTTAAGACCCAAATGCGAAGCCTGGGCTCAGTGCCTGCTGCAGGAGGAGGCCCTGGATGTCAAGAAGCCCCCTCATATCCCTTACTCAGGACCATCACTTGGGAGATCATAGGTCCCTGCCTGTGAGAACAGTGATGGAGCTACTCCCTTCCCCCCAAATCCTGGCTCCTTCCCACCTCAGTTCCTACTGAAGTCTGACTGCAACCTCGCCTACCTTTGTTTAAGCCCAGCTTCTACGGAGGAATGACCAGACCTGGCTAGGTCCACACCACCCTAGCCAATAGAGCCCCTGGCTCCCCAGGCTGTACTGTGTAAGAGCCACCCAGGAACCCCACACTCACGCCAGATCACAGGCTCCCTCCAGCAGCAGCAACCAGGAGCTATGTGGGGCACCTGGCCATGTGCAGCTCAGGCAGGATGCCAGAGTACCCGGTGCTGCCACCACCACTGCCCGAAGTGCCAAGTGCTGCCTCGCTGCCACTGCTGCGACCCACAGTGTTTGCCTGATGCTTAAATAGGAGCTGGGGTGATGGCCCTCCCAGCACCGCCCTCGCTCCCTCGCTCGCTGCAGTGCGTGTCCACACAGACACACGCGCACACACACACGCACACGCACGCTTGCTCCGTAAACACAGCAAATCCTGAGCTCAGCAGAGAGCACTCCCCTCAGCCTGTGGGCGCTCACACTGGAGAGCTGTGGGGGTGGACAGCTTATTTGAAAGTGCTTTCCCGCCCTGACATGGGGGGGGTGCTAGGCTTCCTTCCAAAGCGGGGTCATCAGGGGACCGGGAGGTTGGAATGAGGGCCAGGGGGAGAGCCGCCTCTTCCTTCAGCCAGATTCCAGAAGCAGATCCTAGACAGACTGGCAGTGTGGACCAATCCCGACCCAGAGCCGGGCTGGGCAGGGAAGCCTGCGGATGGTGGCTCTGGGCTCCCAAGGAAAACTGAGGCTTGCCTCGGCTTCTGTCTGTGGGGCCTTCCTCTGCGTACACGAAAAAGAGGCCTCCACATTCCCAACATCCCTAGTGTCCCTGGGGGTAGGAGCTGAGCTAGGATGGAATGAGGGGAGGCGGCTGGCTGCCCCAGGCTCCTGGGAAGGGTGGGTTCCAGGCAGCCAGGGGGCACTAAGAATATCTAGCACACCCGCGCCCTCCACCAGCTGGGGAGGTTATTAATCAGGGAGGGGCACGTTTTAGAGGCTTTGGACCTGTGTCCTGCATCGGGGCTCCATGGACTTGACCTCTCTGTGCTCTTGAACCCCCAGCAGCTCCCTTCCAGTATCAGGAAATACTGGACCTATGCTGCAGACTATTGCCAGGCTGCTTGACACCCTGTCCCACTCCACAAGGTCTCCAGGCCAGCTCTGCTCAGAACCCTGAGCTTAGCTGGGACAGGTGGGGTCTCCCAGTCCCTGATCAGGAGGAGCCCAAGGTGGACACCAGCTCCCGGTTGTCTCCTCCACCCAGGACTCTGCAGCTGTGCACTGACCACCCCCGCCACAAGCCCCACCGGACCTCACTGCCCATGACCAGGAGAGTCCCTCCTCTGTACTGCTGCCTGACAGGCGCTGTAGCCTTCCAGGGGCCTCCACATGAGGACCTGCTCTGTGGCTGTAGGCTGTGGGGGGTTTCCCACCTGCCCCTCAGCCACCCCACAGGTCCTTCCGCTTGGGCCCACTGCTCTGCAGCAACCCCAAGGGGTTGCTGGCTACACCCCCTTCAGTGGCTCCCGTCAGAGGACTCCTGGGATCGACATTCTCAGTTGGAGTCCTCGCCAGCTGACCACACCAGGGCCTCAGAGAGACCAGTGGGTGGGGAGAGCACCCCAAGGGCAGGTGTGTTAGCTCAGCTTCCTCAGGATGTGCAGCCAGGGCCCTGCAGGGGGAGCACACTCCTATGACTCACACACAGGACCCTAGAGGAGGGTTCCAGTGATGCGGGGAGGGAGGCAGGGGACAGAGAACAAGGCCACCTGAAGACTGGAAGTACCATCCCCAACTGGTGACAAAGATGGAAAGTGAGGCCCAGAGAGAGGTAAGGTCTGTTGTACAGAAAGGGCCCACCTGCAGCCCCCAGGAGAAAATGACAAACACACTGTCCTGAACTCCCAGGGCCCAGGGCATCGCACGGGCAGATAGCCCATCAGGGCCTGAGGCATCCCTGGAGTGACCAGGCCTGGCCTGGCCTCCTGCCTGCAAGGCTGGACGTGGGGGAGGGGAAGCACCTACCGTGCGAGGCACTTGCACCCGGACATCCGCACTGTCCAGCGGGAGTGGCTACCGTCCCGGGGCCGCCTGTCAGTGGTGTCCGACCCCTCCTGGTACTTCCTGCTCCTCACAGGGAGGGGGAGCGAGTCCCTGCCTGGTCCCCGCCAGTCCCCTGCATGGTGGGTGTCGCCATTCTGCTCCTGGGAAGGCGAGGCAGGCTGGACGTGGGTCAGGGCAATTCCAAACCAATGACCCACCCCAGGACCCTAAGGGGGAGGCTAGGCAGATGCAGGTTCCCTGACTTCATTGACCATGCACAGTAGGTGCTCAGCCTTGTGAGGAAGAGGATGGAGCCAAGAAGGTGCAGAGTTGTCTGCTCCCTAGGCTGGGAACAGGGAAGGAGGATGTCTAAAGGATACTGACCTCTCCAAATGTCTAGTGTGAAGGAAATGGCAGTGACCATGGGCATCTCTGGGCCTTAAGCCCATGCAAGGACCTGGAGGCTGTCCACAACCAAATCCATGCTACATGGGAGGACCCACAGGCACAGAGAGGTCAGGGTACTTGCCCCAGGGCCACACAGCACCCACACTTTGGGTTTGGCATTTGCTGAACTCCCTCCAATGTCTCTACCAGTTACAGCTTTGTTTATCCCTTGGGCACAGTGTCTGAGTGGACAGGGAACAGGAGCCTATGGACTCATCAGGACACTGGCCATCTATATAGGCTGAGTATGGGGTGGGAAAGGACCATGCTTGCCCCTGGGGATACACAGCTGGTAAGACAGTGGGGTGATGTGGAGGAGGTGCAGAAGCCATGCCACAGGACCGTGGCAGGGGGTGGGGCAGTGCAGATGGGCTGGTGCAGGGCCTCAGGCCACTTGAGGGGACATTTCTCTCTCAGACAGGGGCTGAGGCAAGCAGTTACAGCTTGGCAAACACTACACACCAGGCTCATTAACCTGCTGCCTACACGTGGGCCACACCTCTGCTGATGTCCAGCACTGGCACCCAGCTGCCCACCCAGAGTCCAGCTCACCCGCTCCAGGGGCAACCTCAGCAGGTCCCAGGTCTCTGCGCTCAGTCTCTGTGTCCTCTTGGGTCTGGCTCCTGGAAAACAGCAGGGCTTGGTCAGCCCAGTGATAACCCTGAGCCTTGAAGCCAGCTATGCCAGGTTGGCGCCCTTGGGTGTCAAGGATCAGACATCATGCACCCCAGGCCAGTGATCACACAGCTCCTCGTGTGGAGGTAAACACACAACCTGACTGTACTGTGGGCATCAGACAAGCTGGCCAAAGTGGGGACATGAGGATTGGATCTGACCTCCAGTGGGGTTTGGCTTTGGTGTCCCCGCCCTGTCCTGAAAGATCCTCTTCTGGTCCGGGCTCTCTTCCCGGCCATGCTGTGCCTCCCACCAGTTTCCTGGATGTCCATGTAGCCCACGTGCTCTACTGCGGTACCTTCCATGGAGTCAGCCCTGATCCCTCCACTCTACTTCCTGAGCCCTGCCCTCATGCTCTGGGAGGCAGGCAGGAGTCTCTGGGTCCACTGGAGCTCACTGTGGGCAGCCCAGGCTGGGACAAGGGTGTGACAAAGGTGTCAGATGAGGCCCCAAGTCAGCCCGCTGCCAGGGCTCCTTGGTCCATGGTGGAGATGATGCTGGGCACAGGAGCAGCTCATGGTAGGCAGGGGTCTGAGCCAGGGTCCTGGGCTCAACCTCTAGACAGGTCACCCGTCATGGGAGCCCATGTTCTCAGGCACAGCGGGTAGGGAGAAGCAGCCGCCTGGTATGTGACCATCCAGCTGCAGACTTGGGGAACCACCAGCCTCCACTATTCCAAACATGTCCCTGGGTGGGGCCCAGGCCAAGTTGCACAGGTACCAGGTGCTGCCAGCACAGGTGATACCTGGGCAGGAAAGTTAAGTCCAACCCCAGGTCAGGGCACTTGCAGGACCCCAGGGCTGGGAAGAGCCAGCCTGGCAGGACCTGCCTGCTCAGGGAAGCCAGGCCATTTACAAGGTGACAGATAACTCAGGACAGAACCTGAGATGTAGAGAACAACACAGCCAAGTCAAGCCAGAAACCCTGTGGCAAAGGCTGGCAGGACTGTGGCTAGCTGAGATCTAGGATCATCACTGGCCCCTGAGGAGGTAGCCTGAGTTGGAGGGGAGTACAGCCAGCTATGGAAAAGGCAGCAGAATGCTCCAGAGAGGTGGGGGTGGGGTGTCAAGAGTAGAAAGTATTTGCCAATTGGAGGCCCTCTCCCCAGCCTCTGCCCTGCCTGCATGTGTCCAGCACTTCTCCGGGGAGACCCTGGACTCATCTCATGGCCAGGCAGACCTGCTGCTGTGCCCACCCCTCATCCTGATCCTCCTGGGATCCAAATATCCCTCTACCCCAAGACATGTGCTGGAAATTGCCAGGAGTATGTCAGATGGCAGGTGTGCATTGGAGCCCAGGGCTTGTGACACAGCAGTATGGTGAGGAGACCCAGTCCTGGCATCAACGGACACTTGGGAGTCCCCAGGGGGCTCAATTTATAGAGGTGCCCCGTGGAGCCTTATCAGGGCTCTGATTTAATTATGAGCCTGGGCCAGAAGTCCAAAGGGTGCGGGGAAGGGGAAGGGGCCACAAAGCAATCAGTCCAGCAGTCTCAGGTTCTCAGACCCCACTCCACAGATAGCAGGATGATGGCTGTCTGACACTGTCGCCCTAAGGAGTCCAAGCCTCTGCCTCTCAACTGGGAAGGGTGTCCTGCTCCCAAATAGCCAGTGGCAATTCAAGGCCTAGCTAGGTGTGGCTGTCCATGGGCTCCCAATGTGCCAAGGAAGGCCTGTTGTTATCTTGGTGGCACAAGGGAGCCCCTGGTCAGGTCTGGCTGCCAGCACCCCTGAGACTATGTCACCTGTTTAAATGATGGGCATCCTAAAAATGAGTAGTGTAAAAGGGACAGGGGCAGAATGAGCCAAGGACTTTGGGGACCCAGAGTGTTCCCCACAGCCTCCAGCTCACTGGCTTCAGCCCAGCCCAAGGCAAATGTCTAGGCTGGAGGGGGTGAAATAAAGAGGAGGAGCTATGACAGGGTCACAAGAATGGACGACTGTGTCCCCCCACGTTGCCTAGGGTACTGAGGAAGACCGTCCTCATGCCTTGTTCTCCAATGGCTGAGAAATGAAGAGCCTGGGCAGGAAAGCATCCGTCCACAGGGGTATCTGGGGTAGTCATCCAGAAGCCTGGGGAGATGTCCGACTGAGAGGCTGCCAGCCTAACCCTGCATGCGCCATGGCCCCAAGCACTCAGGGCAGAGATATCTACTGCTTCTCCTGCCCCCCAACACAAGCGCCCCAGAGCAGGGCTCCCTGCCCTTGCTTTGGCTGTGGTAGTCGGGGGTCTTTCCTCAGCCCCTGAAGACTGCCCGGCACATTCAGACATGGAGGAGTGGTAGCAGTCTCAGGCTGAAGGGGATGGTGCAGAGTGGGGCTTGGGGCTGTTTTCTGCAGGGCCATTTGATGTTTACTCCCACACTCAGATTAGGAAGGCAGGTCTGAGGAAGAAATGACGGAGTCACTCCAAACTGATGGAGCTCGGGGCATCACACATGCCCGCCATGTGTGTCGCTGAGTTACAGGGGTCAAATCTATCTCAGAGCTGGGCGGGGCCCTTACTCAGCACACCCGATGAGGGCCCCATTCCATCTTGCACCGTGCACCAGCTGAGGGCCTATCTCTCGGCTGCCCTCAACGTCCTGGGGGCAAGAGTTGGTTTCCCCACCTTGTCTGCTGAGCCTTGGGCTCTGCACAGCTGCTTCAAGCCTGCCTGGCCCTCCACCATGACGTGGTATGGGTGGGCACCAGCTGTAGCAGAGGCTGAGATGCCTTCTGAGACTCAGCTTGGATCTGGCTCTGGGGCGGAGCCCTTCATGGCGGACAGAATGTGGGCTGGAGGCCCTCTGGGCCCAGACAAATGTACCCTCTGTCTCGAGGCTGCTGAAGTTGGGTCCAGCCAATTCCAGCAGCCACACTCCCTTGGCTGAGCTACCTGACTGGGGGCCTCACGCCCTGGCCCCTCTCACTTAAGCTTTCTGACCCTCCTGCCAAGGGCAAAGTCTGGAAACTTCCCCAGCATAGCCTCACCACCACCCAAATCAGACACATCGCAGTGGTCATCATTTTTATCCTCAGCAGGTTCCTTGGTCTACGTTCAAGGGGGGCCATCCAAGCCCCTGGGTCCACCTCTCCCAGCTGACCCTCCCAGGGGCTGCCCCCTGCCCCCAGCTGGACCACTGCACCTCCCCCTTACTAGACCCAGATTGGACCCCTTCTCACACCACCAGGACCTATGTCACCATCCCTCGTCTGCCCTGTTAGTCCCTTCTCCATGCCGGAGACGCAGTGAGAACCTGAATAGATGTGCTTTCCCCTCAGCTGGAGTTGCAGGGCCCCATGCGGCCTTCCCTGACCCGTCCCCTCCCCTGCTGCACTGACTCTAGAATCAGCAGGCCTGAATGTGACAGGCTCATGCTCACCCTTAGGCTACTGTCCCCTCTTACTTCCCAGATGGGGCACTGAGGCACCAGTGTATCAGGGCACTGGTCAGTTAGCCAGGCCATGGTGGATAGGGCCAGGGCCAGAGCCTATAGCCCACACATGCGTGTCCCTGACCCAGAAGTGGCTGAAAGTGCCAGAGGGCATGTCTCCCACGGGAGGGGCCTCTGCATGCTGTTCTGTGCCGATGCGGCAGTGGGCTGGTCCCAGAGGGTAAAAGGGGGCAGGCGGTGGAGGGTGCACAGAGGGCAGCTCAGGCCCACTGGAGATAGGGCAGAGGGTAGAGGCGTGGTCCTACCTTCTTCAACTCTCTTATACATTGGTCATGCTGCCCAGGTCAAGAGGGGAGCCTAGAACCTCAGTCACGCATTGCTCTCTGTGTCCTTAACGGCATGGTTGGGTGAGGCAGCCGCATCCAATGGGGGAAGGCTGGGCCTTTGCCTTCTGGCCACAGAGGTGGGGCTGTAAGCTGTCAAGAGTTGGGGGGGGAGGGGGAGGGCACACACCCAGAGGGGATGGGCATGGAGTTGCCCCCACCCACCAGGACACAAGTCTGGGGCCTCTTTGCTGGCCGAGGAGGTCCCAGCAGAGGGAAGGAAGGCTCAAACTCAGCAGGGCTCTGTCTTCTAGCTGCACGAAATCCCGTTTTTATTGTCAGGAAACAAAAACTGAGTCCTGGACGCCTGCCTCCCACCAGACTTGAACCCATCAGTCACACCTATGTTCACTACTCCCACTGCATAGGAGAGCATGCCCACCTTCCCAAGCCCACAAGGCATGCTTCACCTCCCTGCACACTCAGGCCACGCCCACTGCATGAAAATACAGCACCCACAAAGCCCCACCCCCTGGCATGCCTACACCCACCCACACAGCTCCCTCCAGCCCCTCCTGCCTCCTCCTAACGGGCTGAATTCCCTCTCATCCTCCCAGCCCAGGAGGCTCCCCACAGCCCCACTGGCTTTGTGCCTTCTCGGGTGCCCACCTGGCCCCCTGCACCAGAGTCACACCGAGGGGCTCTGGATAAGCATCTGCCCAGCCCCGGCCCCAGCCCCAGCCCCACTGGATACTTCCTAGAAGGCACAGCCCTCTGGGCTGGGCCAGCCCACTGCCAGTTCTCAGTACTGCCGAATGAACAAGTTGATGTCACCCCTGCGAAAGCCCTTTGGGGGCTCCCCCAACTCCCGACACAGAGTCCAGACTCCCAGTCTCTGCTCCTGCCTGGCTCACCTGAGCAGGGGTCTCCACCAGGGCCACCCAGACTCTCAGGGTGCAGGCCTGCTTTTAGTAGCTGCATCCCGGGCTGGAGCCCCTCAGGCCAGCGGCAGTTCTACAGGGTCCCAGACTCTTCTCTAACGCTGTCTTCAGTGGGGCTGGGGATGGACTGTTCCCCAGGGGCTGTGGCGGCTGGCCACTGGCAGCCCTGTGGGGAGGAGGCTTCCGGGGGCCCCTGGCTAGGAAAAACCCAGCATTCAGGGCAGAGCAGACAAGCCAGTGTGGGGAGGACAGAGCTGCCTTGTCTCTGGCTGTTCCCCCATGACATGCCCTTTTCCTTGGCTTAGAAAAGGAGGAAAAGAGTCAGGACGGGAGCTGGCCGCCTCTGTGGGAGCCTTTCCAGAAGTGTTCAGCCCTGGCTGGGAGATACGGGCTGGGGGCTGTGCCAGGAGCTCTCTGTAGAGCTACCCACCCTGGGAAAAACCCAGGCAGGGGCAGATACTGTGCATCCTGGGGCAGAACAGGGGACAGAGATGTGTGTCATGCTATTCCCCCACCTATTGACTATGGCACCCCTGCTGCCCTGACTGGTTGAGGGACCCAGAGCAATTGCTCCTTCTCTTTTGTCCTCAGCCCCATTTCCCAACATAAACAAGAAATACCAGAGACCCACCACAAGCTCTCGAGGCCAGGGACAGGCAGCTCTCATGATGGAGAGGTCCCCCTTCCGGGCGACCCTGCAGGCTGAGGCAGGTGGGTGTCCCTGGGAACCCAACCAGGTAGGGGCTGGGGTTCCAATTCTGGGGCTGTGGCCATGTGAACCGGGGCAGTTGGCCCCCTGCCCAGGCCTGTCCCCACCCACCCCCCGTCTGCCTCAGGAAGCCAACTCAGCATGGCAACCCTTACCCCACCTGGCCCCCTCCCTAGTATATATTAATATATTTGCTTTGCAGGGAATGTTCTGTCCTTTCGTGCGAAACGCTGACCTGTACAGGATGACCAGCAGTCTGTGAATGAAGTCATTATAGCAGCCTCAGCCTACCCTGGACCTTGACTGATTATATCCCAGGCAAACACAGCCTCGGCTCCCTCTTGCACCCTCCTATACTGGTCTGGTGACAGAGCTCTCCCCTCTTGGACTGCCTGGGTCGGGTATGTGAGATGAACGACCCCTGAAGTGGGGGATGGGGGGGCACAGTGAGCAGCCTTCTTCCTGCCATCAGCCTTGTGGTACCTCCAGGATCGTGAGTGGGAGGGACACGAGGTGACCACAGGCCCTTGCCTGTGGTGCAGGGTGGTGGAGAACAGGCCAAATGGACTGGTTTTCAGTTGGTCACCACACCCTTGTTCACAGTGCCCATGCCTACTGATTGCCTGTTTCTGCTATCTCTTCCAGTCTCCCCTTATTCCCCACTTGCTCCATGGGGCCTGTCTGTGCCCCCAGGCCTCTGTTGCCAGGTAGGTTTCTGTCCACTCCCTCCGCTACCCCCACTGTGCCTTTGCAGGAGTCTCTCCTAGGCCCAGTGCAAGGCTGGGCAGTGGGGTGCTCCATGAGGCAGGTGCTTGCTGCCTGGTGGGTGGCGCCTTACTTTGCTGAGCAGTTCTATTTGTACAGAACCCACTTCCTGTATCCCCACACCAGACGGCCAGCACTGTGCTGGGCCCCAGAGGGCACTACACCCTTCTCCCCAGGTGTCCCCGTTATATCCCTGCCAAACTGCGGCCCAGGCTGAGATTTGAGCCCTCAGCTCTGAGAACTCACCTTGGGCCTCATAGCCGGCCAGGTCAGGTTTTTCTGCGGCTGCTGGGCTGGTCAGTCGGCCTAGTGCCAGCTGCAACTGTGCAACGTTCATGCGGGCTGTGAGCTCCCCGCTCCGGTCCCCGATCTGCAGCAAGCAGAGCCAGGTGAGTGGGCAAATGGGGCTGGGTCCCCAGCATACTGTCCCTGGTTTGCAGGGTAGCCTAGGCTGACCCCTGGGCCTCTGAGGGAACCAGGCCTCACTGTGGTCCTGCAAGTACATTCTGTGTCCCCCGTCCAAGGTCTTAGGCAACCCAGTCATGGACTCTTGTGGTGCCTCCTTGCATACTCTCTGGTGAGTGGACAGCCTGACCCTGGCCTGGGCCGTGTCTTTCTCAGCCTCAAAACCCACCAGCTTTAGGCTCCCAGCACAGCACAAAAGCTTCACACTGAGGTTCCACCAGGAGCCTCCCAAGCATCTGCACTGCACAGAAACAAGCCAAGTATGGTGCCCAGATGGCACATGGAGCATGGAGAGCTCTGCACTCCGGGGAACATGGGGGCTGGCCACCCAGTGGAGGAGCTCTCTGGATGGGGCCTCAGCTGCTCTGAGCCTTCTTGTCCTCCTCACCTCCACCTGGACACCTGCAAGCCTCCCACTTGGAGCTGTGGTAATCAGGTGGCACTGGATCTGTCCTTTCCTAGGGAGGTCTAGGGCTCACCTGTGACAACCCTGCCTGCCCACAGCAGGAGGGTCCTGGGCACCCTGTCTAAGGAGGAGGGGAACTCAGCTTTCAGGATGCTATCCAGCCCAGGGGATCCAGAGGAAGCCCCCAGGTAGCGGCAGGCCTTTTTGCCCCTGGGCTGCCTCTGGGAGTCACTCCCACTTTGATGGTGGGCTCAGCCTATGGGGTCTATGGGGGTGGGGCCAGGGGTAGGGCAGTCATGGGTCTCCCACAAGTGTCACGGATACTCTAGGGGTGCAAAGCAGGTCCCTTGCTCCCCCATTCACCCATGGCCTACAGACAGCAGGAACCTAGTCTCTGCATAACCTAGTGGCCAGGATGGCTGCTACAGCCCAGAAGGACAGAAAGGGCAGTCCAGAAGGGAGTGCAGGCACAGAGAAGCACTGGGCAGAGGACCTGGGATGCAGGCTGCTCACCTCCTGGGAGATCTGCAGGTGCTTCTTGGCAAAGGTTAGTGCCTGCGCTGGACTCCCCATAGACACGTAGGCATTCCCCAGACTCCAGCACGCCCGGCCCTCGCCCACCCTGTAAGCAGGAAAACAGTACACACCTGTCCTCCCTAGGCCTGCCTGCTGTCCCCAGCGCCCTGGTGTGGGTCACCTCAGTCCCCAAGCCCAAGAGGCATGGACGGGGCGATAGGACAGCACATTCTTGGCTGCAATGACCCACCCCTTCCTCCTGGCCAGGGCCGCCTACAGAGCTGGCCACCATCAGGAAGAATCCCCGTCCTGTTAAAAGCACTAACTCAGAAAACCTGACCTTGTGAAGCAGCCCTGGAGCCTGTTTGGCCTCCGGGAGCTTTTCTGGCTCCACTGGGTGGATCAGGCAGAAGGCTGGGTGCCTGACTCGTGGCCTGGCTCGCCTCCTAGTGGCTGTCAAAGCAATCTCCCCTGTGCTTCCTCCACCCCTGGAGAGGACAGCCCCAACCGCCCTGGAGCCATTTATTTTCAAGTAAAGCAGAAATGTTAATTCCAAGTGGATTTGGTGGCACTTAGCAAACTGACGTTGTTGTATCACCACCACCTCACTTAAACACTTCCATCACCCCCAGAGAAAACCCTGGGGCCCTTGTAAACCTCCTTCCTGCAGGGCAGCTTTGGAGGTTCCCTCTCTCCACTGCCACAGTCGGCAGACTTGGGGCTCAGAGCCCCTGTTCTGGCCACTATCCACCCCAACCTGTATGCAGGGCTGCTCTGGAGCCAGGTGCTGGCCTGTCTCCCCAGGGATATTTACATAGACCTGGGGGAAAGGGGTGCTGGCCTGGTGACCAGGGAAATCCCTCACCAGCTTGTGCCAAGGGTCCCTGAGAGCACATCCACAGTCTTGCTGAGTCCCCTCAGCAGTGTTACCCACTAACTGAGGGGGAGGCTGAGGCTTGGGGGCCACCCTGCTCTGGCCATGCCGTGGTCAGTGACGGAGCAGGGGTTTGGGCCCAGGCCGCCTGGACTCAGCCTCTGTGATCCAGCCCCTGAAGGCCAGGCTGCAGCCATGTCCACGCACCTGTCAGCCAGCTCCTGTGCGATGACCAGGTGCCGCAGGTGGTACTCAGCCGCACGCTCATAGTCCTGGAGCAGCGTGTAGGTGTTGCCCAGGCTGTAGCAGGCCTGCGCCTCCACCGCCTGGTCCCTCAGCTGCCGGGACAGCTGTAGTGTCTTCCTGTGCAGAGTGGGAGGGTCGGCCTCAGTATCCCCCCTCAACTGGAGGGCAGGTGAGGGGTAGAAGGTTCTCAGGGGCCTGGCTATGTCCCTATCCTCAGATGGCCACAGTACTGACTTCGAACACTACATGCTCACGAATCCTACTGGACTCTGAGGGGTATCCGGGTTACCTAAATACCCTGAGCTGCTGTTCTTCCATTGTAGTCCCAGGACAGTGGCTCAAGGCCTTAGACGGGACACTTAGGGCTCACTATAGGGCCTAAGAACCCAGCTCTACCCGGCGGGCCATTACTCAAGCTAGGAGGCAGATGGCTCCAGCCTTGGCACAGCCCTGGTACAAGTTCAGGCCCCCCCATGAGCTTCCTACCTTCCTGGAAAGTCTAGGCAATCAGACTCCCTCTCCACCTTGGGCTAGGCACCTTCTTGGCCAGGAGTCCAGTCTCCCCCAGGAGGGCCCTCCTCCCTCTCCCTGAGGGAGGCTGCCCACTTGTAGTACTCAGCTGCCACGTCGAAGCGCCCCAGGAAGATGTGGGCATTCCCCAGGTTGCTGTAGGCCCTTCTCTCCGCCGCCTTGTCGCCGAACTCCTTAGCAATGGCTAGGCGCTGCAGACAGACCCGAGGCCCAGGACATCACAGAGCAGCCCTGGGACCTGAGGCAGACAGACAGGTGCTGCCTCCCTGCCTGGGGTGACTGGCCTGCTGTCAGTGTGTCCAGTGAAGCAGACCAAGTGTAAATGAAGCCAGAGGGTTGAGGGGGCACCCCTGCTGCCTTGCACCTCCTCACCATCAAAGACTACCAGGGGGCGGCAGCTGCCAGGGCCCTGTCCCACTGCCCCAGGCCTGCTGCCGCGGGTCCGCTCACCTCCTTGTGGAAGGTCGTGGCCTCTGTGAAGTTTCCCAGCAGGTAGTGTGTGTTGCCCAAGTTGCCGTAGGCCCGGCCCTGGGCCGCCCGGTCACCCAGCTCCTTCACCAAGGACAAGTTCCTCCTGGGGGCCAAACCTGTCTGAGCTATGCTCCTCCCAGCATCAGGAAAATGGGTACATTCCCACCACCCCAGGCTGCCCTCACTGGGTGAGCCATGGAAACAGGGCATCTCCAGATGCTGATTTGGCTCCAGTGCCATCTGAGCTCTGGGGCTGGTCAGGTAGCATCTGTCCCTGACAGGTGTGAGTGGGACTGAGTGGGGGTGTTCCATACCTGGGGCTGCTGCCCCATCTCCTGTCTGTTTCACAACACTCAGGAAGTATTTTGCAGCTCAGGCACCTGGATCTCTTATCCCCTCCACCCTGGGGCACAGCCTGCTCTACTTACTCATAGAACTCAGAAGCCCTGCGCAGTGTTTCATGGACGTCAGGTGGCAGGTGTCCAGGGTCCTGCACAGTGGTCCAGGACAGCTGCTTGCCTTTGGCGTGGTATACATTGCCAATGTTGTAGAGCGCCCTCGCCTCTCCGACCTGCAGGCAGCACCAAGGTGTGGGGCGTGCCTCTGCAGTACCCCACAGAGCCCGCCTGAGGTGTACATGTGCACAGGTGGTGGGCTGATCTCCTGGCCCACTGGCCTTGCTGTTCCAGGGCCCCTCATAGGAGCCACTCCACTCTGGCCATCCCTTCCTCCTCCACCAGTTGGGACAATAGAGATGGCCAGACCTTTGCTCTGCCCTCTAATGACCAAGGGTAAGAGCTCCAGCTCAGGGGCACATGCCAGGGCTCTGAGCATTTGTGGCCACCTCTACCTGCCTACACCAGGGAAGGAGGGATGCTTATCCCACATGGCTCTGGAGGGAGGGTGGCCAAAGGCTGCCAAGGAAGGACCTGCAGCCCCTCTAGCCACGGGGCTACTTTCATGGATGCCTGACTTCTCCAGAGCCCCACCAACCTTTGTCTCCCAGGGCCCCTGACCCCCAAAGGGGTGACTAGGGTGTTGGCCAAGGGAAGCCAAGTTGAGCGGAAGATGGGGTGGGGCCATGGCTTAGGGAGCTGGGTCCCAGCCCTGCAGTGTCAGCATGAGGTAGAAGTGGCCCTGTCTCTGAGGGACCTTGTACTCTCCGGAGCCACTTGGGGTCCCCCTGGTTTCTCACCTGTGGGGGACAGCTGAGCAGGGTTGAATGAGCGGTATTTTAACACCTGCTCAAACCTTGACCAGGACACTGTCCGGAGGGCAAGGGTGGGAAAGGCAGGTGGCCTAGAGGCCCAACCACCTACCTTGTCCCCCTGCTCCTGAGCAATGTCCAGGTGACGCTGGCAGCAGACAATGGCCTCATCGAATCGGCCCAAGACCTTGAGAGTGTTGCCCAGGTTCCCACTGGCCTTGGCCTCCCCCATGCGGTCACCAATGGCTCTGCAGGACAGGAAGAAGTGAGGAGCCAGGCTGAGGACTGGACGGGACCCTGAACCCAACAGGGCCTCAGGCATGGGCCTGAGGCTGCCCAGGAGCCTGACCAATGGGTGATGCTGGGTAGGGGCAGAGGAAGCCCTGCAGATAGCCCTGGGGCAGGGATCCAGCTTAGAACCATTCCCTCTGCTCTGGAGACGGTCCCCCTGCCTTCCCCAGCAGCCTTTAGCGCTGCCATGGGCTCCACAAGGACCTCAGGACCTGGCCCAGATCCCTGCAGCTATTATGACCCAGAGAAGCCAGGGGGTGGGTGGTAATGGAACGTTAAATACAGTGACCCATCCAGCGAACATTCTATCAAACTGCTGCTGGATCCTGGGGTGGGTGCTGAGGACAGGATGTCTATGGTGGACAGGGGATAGGGGAGACCAGTATAGGTAGGGATGGTGGGAGCTCTGTCCCCACCAAGGTCAAGTCAGCCTCAGGTGGAGGAGCTGGGCAGGGTGAGAGGCAAGGGAAGGGGCCCCACAGGATACAGCATGGGCAGAGGCCCACAGACTGGACAAGAATGAAGACACTTGGGAACAGGGGATGGGGGCCAGAGGGAGGCAGTGACACTGCAGGGGGCTTGGGGTTCCCAGGGAGAGCAGGGCCTTGGAGTAGGACCACACTCTAGACCAGGTAGCTAGGAATGAGCCCAGAGCCTGGACACCAGGGAAGGGGCAACACCTCTGGGTGGTGCTCCAAATCACATATAGGCAGACATAGAGTCATGGGTACCTCCCCACAATGGGGACACATGGACAGACACATGCTCACGCACACAGACATACAGATACAGACACACATGTGTCTCATGTGCCTCAGCTTGAACACAGTCCCCTTGGGGGACTTGCAAATTCCCTTCTAGATCCATGGACCCCTTTCTCAGGTCAGGGGCACACTGCTGGAATCCCTTGGGCTCTGAGAACCCCATCGCCAGCTCACATCGTAACTGCTCCCTCCTGCCTCCCCGAGGGCAGAGCAGTGTCCACTGCAGTTAGATTGTATCCTGCCAGGTGCTCACCGTGCCAGCAGCAGGTCATGTTTGTGGAACTGTAGAGCACGGGCATACTCCTTCAGGTAGAAGTAGGCATTGCCCAGCTGGCTGTAGATAGCGCTCAGTGTCTTCAGGTCTTCAGTGCCCACCTGCACAGCAGCCTCGAAGAAGGCCACACCTGCCTTGAAGTCACCCGCCTTGCACAGCCGCTCACCCTCCAGTGCCAGCTCCAGGCATGAGGCTTCCATCCTGGGCAGAGGGAGGGATGTCATGTCCTAGCCCTCAGGGACCCAAGCTCCTTCATGGTCACACCATGGACAACACTCTTCAGTAGCTGTGGTCTGCACCACTCCTGCACTCAGCTATGTATGTGTTGGGAATTCATACCTGGAGGCAGTGCTGGACTCAACAGCATCCTAGATGCTCACCTCTACCCAGACCTCACCGTCTGCTCCTAGCCACTAGGGCCCAGAGACTACCTGGGGTAAAGGCCAGAGACCAGAACAGCACGGAGCCTCTTAGGCCAGTGTGAGCCAAGCTCTGTGAAGCAGGGCCCCCCTGGATCCCAGCAGCACCGGCCAAAGGGACAGCCGCCTGCCCTCTATGCTCCCCAGAGGCCCCGGCAGCCTGAGAGACAACTCAATACCCACCCCCAGGACAGCTGAGACAGAGGGTGGGTCAGCTCATGGGAACAACAGAGTAGGATCTGATCCCAGCCCCTCCCATCCTCATTCCAGGGCAGACCCCCTGAGCAGTGTGGTGAGTTAAGTCACTCTGTCCCCACAGGGGAGAGCTCTGCTGAGTGGCAAGGAGACATCTGGTGTGTGGGCCAATAGCCCCTCTCCAGCATGTCCCCCACCCAAAGAACTGAGAAGCACCTGTGGGCTGCCAGCCAGGACTGCCTGAGGAACAGCTGAGGGAGAAAATGGTCAGCACTGTGTCCCAGGATGAACCCAGCCCCCTGGCAAAACTGCTCCAGCTTCCTGCCTGGAATCCTGCCAAGTCCAAGGGCTTAGGCCCCCTTGGTGAGCACCCACACAAAGGCCGTGCCAGAGAACCTCCTCAACCTTGGGCCCTGCACAGCTGCAGAGGTAGGGTTCCTGACCCCAGCTGCCACCCTGGGACCCTGATCAGAAGGACACACAGCCCCCAGGACTCAGGTGAATTGCCCTCAGCTGTTAGGGAGGGGCAGGTGTGGGGGTCACTCAGGCTGCCTGGCTCTGTCCTCCCTGCTGCAGGGCCCTGAGCTGGACATTTGGTCCCTGGGAGCCTCAGTGTCTACCCTGCTCCAACTGCCCAGGGGTAGCGGGGGACACATGGGGTGGGTGACATGGGTAGGTCAGGTCCCAACGACTAGGGAAGTGGGAGGGAACGGAAGAAGGAGGGAGCTGGGGACCTGGAAAAGAGGAGGTGGGCTGGGCTCGGACTGCAGGCCAGCCCTATCACTGTTTCACTGTTGTTTTCACTTCATTGATTTTTTTTTGGACAAGGGTCTCACTAGGTTGCCCAGGCTCAAGTGACCTTTGCACCTCAGCCTCTCGAGTAACACATAGATATAGAGATGTATAGATATACAGATTTTTTTTTTTTTTGTGGCACTGGGGTATGAACTCAGGGCCTTGAGCTTGCTAGGCAGGCGCTCCACCACTTGAACCATGCCCCCAGCTCTTTCTTGCTTTAGTTATTTTTGAGATAGATTCTTGCTTTTATGCCCAGGCTGACAATCCTCCTATTTACATTTCCCGAATAGCTGGGATGGCAAGTAAGTGCCATCATGCCTGGCTTTTACTCATTGAGATGAGGTCTTGCCAACTTTTTGCCCAGGCTGGCCTCAAACCAAGATATTCCTGATCTCTACCTCCTGAGTAGCCACTGCCCCTGGATGGTTTTTTGTTGTTGTTTTTGACTATGTCTTGCTATGTATTCCAGGCTGGCCTTGAACTTGTGATCCTCCTGCCTCAGCCTCCTGAGTTCTGGGATTACCAGTCAGTGCCATCACGCCTGCTCCTACAGAGTCCATATTGAGTGCCCTGTTACACCCCAAGTCACCAGCTGTCCTCTGTGTTGTGAGAACTGGGCAGTAATCAGGAATGAAGGGGCAGTGTTTTCTCAACCATTTTAACCAAATGTCCTTTTGATTCAAACCACAGTGCCCCCCTCACTGTGTCCCTCTGTTATCAAGAAAACAGGGCATTTTGAACTTTCCCAGGAAGACAGTGCCACGTGAACAGACGGGTGGAGATGAACCCTGAGAAGCTGGCCTCAGTGCCCTCAGCCCATGCCCTCTGAGCTTTCTTTTGAGGAAGCCCCACCCTCACTGTGCCCACATGCCCATCCAGTCAACCAGCCTGGGGACCCAGACTTGGTGCCTGATCCCGATGTCACCCACAGCTCCCAACACCAGACAAGCCCTTTTCTGGCAGCACCACTTCTGCTTTTAGGGTCCCTCCGTTTTCTCTGGAAATCAGTTGCCAGGCTGCCTGCCTCCATCCTCGAGACCCTCTGACCAGGAGGCTCAGGGTTCCACAGCTCCCAATTCTCCAAACGACAGGAGGATGAGTTCTCAGGACAGGGTCAGCAGGAGTCTGTCCCCATGCCACTCAGTGTTATGCTGGGATGCTACTCAGGCCAACTGGCTGAGGGTCACCATGTACCCATACCGTACCCAACCAGAGCCCTGGCTCGCTGGGTATCCCACTGAGTTTGCCTGCCACAGGGAGCCTGTAGGAGACCGGGGGTGGGGCTGCCCTGCCTGAGCGCACAGTCCAGGCACCACTGGCCAGCGCTTCACCTGGTGAGCAGCACTTGCAGGGCCTTCACCAGATGTAAAATTGGGACACAGCCATAGTTTGGGGTGTGCAGGGGATACCAGAAAGAGCTCAGCTCTCACCCATGCGGAGGGGTGTGCTCCCTCCCTCCATGGTGGATACTAACCCAGTGCCCTGGCATCCTAACCACCTCCATGCTTCCCCCAGGGACCAGCAGAGCCATGTGGTCAAGGATGAGGCTTTGAAACCAGGAAGCCAAACCCTCAGGCTGTCCACCACCTCAGCATGCGAGGAGGACCTTCCACCACACCTGACAGACTCCTTGGCAGCTACCTCGCCGAACCCCCTGAGAAACGCCATTTGGATGCCATGTCGGTCTCAGGAGCCCATGGTTACCATGGCAACCAGCCACAAGATGGCTTCACTCTTGTGGCCAGTGCCACACTCAGGCTTCCTAATTAAGGCCTGTTTGTCCCTGCCTGGCTATTGGCCAAATGGTCTGACAAAACTCTTTGCTGCTGTCCTTCCAGTGACTGTGAAGGAGAGGGGGCCTGGAGCTGGTCTGCAACGTGGGGGCTTGCTGCCTCCCCACCCCATCTCCTCCTGGCCAGAGATTCGGCACTAGCTCAGACTAAAGGAGGTTTGTGCTTTGGGAAAGGCCTGAGGCCAGAAGCCCTGGGGGTGTGACAGAGGGGACACCGGTGTGCCCATCCTAAACCTCAGACGGTGGTCTACCTGGGGCCACACCACAGGGAGCTGCTTTGAGAGGCAGCAGGCTGGGGTGTCCAGGCCAGAACCCCACTTATTCCAAGACACCACAGTCACACCTCAACCCTCCAGCCAGGAACCTATCCCCCGAGGCCCCACACCTGCCCAGCCCATGTGCCCACCCACCTGGCCGCACCTCTTCCTCTGCAGGTTGCGCATCTTCTGCACATATAGCCAAAGCTCCAGGCCCACGGGCAGCAGCAGCGGGCGGGGGCGGTGGGTACCATTCACCACCTTGCACACAGCCTTCTCTGCCAAGCTCAGGGCCAGAGGCTGGCCCTCCCCAGAGGAAGCCGGCATTGCTCCCTTCCGCTGGGCATGGGTCACAGGGCATGGGCCAATCTCAGGACTCCTGGCTCCCACACCTCCAGCTCCAGGAGACCCTAGTCCCTCCAGTGGGTCCTCCTGCCCTGGGGTCTGACGTGGATCAAGGGATCAAGGGCAGCTCAAAGCACTGACAGCAGGGGCGGGGGGATGAGCCCAAGTAATCCTCTGCTGTCCTCCTGTCCTCCTCCAGGGCTGGGGAGGGGGCATGGGAGCCAAACCCAGCCGTGTCGGGTGCAGCACTGCCCTCCCACCCAGTCACAGCCACTCCTCAGCAATTTTTTATGCAGGTCAGACCCTGTGGCCAGCTCTGCACCCAGCTACTTCAGGAAGGCTGGGGCTGCACGTAGCAAGTACTGGTCAAGGTTTGGTGAATGAAAGGAATACAAATACTGGGACCGTGCCCAGCCCCGCCCCGTCTAGCCCACAGCTGGTGCAGCACAGTCTGGCAGGCGGCTAAGCTCTCCCACCTGTAATGCCTGCCAAGAGGACCTGTCCCCAGGCTGGGCAAAACTTGAGTTTGGATGGGGTTGGCACATGACCCTTTCCTATTCTCTCTAGGACCCAGAGTCTAATCTGCCCCACATCCAATCTCAGCCTAACCTGGCTGTGACCTTGGTGGTACTGGCACAGGGGCCTGGCATATGGGGCAGGCTGAATCATCCCTGGAGACCTCACCTAGCTGCATTACCCTCGCCTGACCATCCAAGGTGAGCTTCGGAACCCAGGTCAAGCCAGGGTGTGGGACCACACAGGGCCTGGGGAGGCCACCTCTGTGGTAGTGGGGGCCTTCCTCAAATCTCAGCTCTCCAAGTCACTTGACCATGAGAAGGCCAACAGAATGACCCTCTCTAGGTAGTGGGAGGGACCCCAGAGCAGAGGGGAAGTTGCTAACATGCAGCTATGGACAGAGGGCCACAGGGGCTTGGAGCAGGCAGAACCCTGATCCATAGACCTGAGCACAGTGTGCCGGTAGGAACAGGGAGGCCTGTTAAGGCCTCCCCAGCTAGCTCACCCCTGGGGTCAGCCCTACTTGGGCTGTGAAGCTCCCCTGCCAGGCCACCTGTCCTTTTCAGCTGTGTGCTTTGGGGTGGGAGGGGCCTCCCAAGGCTGAGTGTCTAAGGGATACAGGGACAGGACAGAGGGAGGTGTAGGGAAAGATCAGAGGAAATTGGACAGCAGGGGTAGAGGGCTCTGTCTTTGAGGTTACCTTAGGGTCTCAGCAGAGGTAGGAATTCTATGAGAAGCAGGGAAGGTTTCCAAGCCCTGTCTAGCCCCTTCCATGTGGACATGAGGTTCCCATTAGGTCCAGTCACTTGCCCACTGCTGGGACACCTTGGAGCAGGGCCTGGACCACTCTGCTCTTTCTGTGGCTAAACCCCTAGGCCCTGTACCCTCAACATCAACCCCAGCTCCTCCTGATCTGTAGCCACCCTCTCCTGCCCTCTTGGGGACCATGCCAGCCTGGCAGGGCAGGTTCCTCACTAATAAGAAAGATTCTGGAATCTCTGTCCCTCCATACCCCCTCCCCAGGCTGAAAGGTACTCCTCCTGTCAGTCACTGTCAAGGTTACCTGTGTGCCCAGGGACTCGCTGTAGTCATCCTGGGCAGACAGAGACTGGGCTGCCTGGGGCCTCTGGAAGACCAGACCACCCCAAGGGCTACCTGGAATCTTACTCTCAGGGCTTGAGATTGGGGTTCCCCAGGGCTAGATTGGGGTTTTCCAGGGCTGTGGGCTTAGGGCCCCCCACTGGCCACACCACCTCAATCCTGGAATTGAGCAGCTTCCTGTCTAGGATTTGCCACTTTGCTAAACAGACAGACACACTGCTGCATTGGTAAGCAATAGTCCTCCACCTCCCCTAGGAGAGGACCCGCCCACTGTCTGGGGGGACCAGCCCAGCCTGACCCACCTCTACACTGAGGTCCTGGCCCCAGCCTACCAATTGTTCCTAAGATAGCTCTAACAGATCGCTGTCCTGTGCCTCTCTGCTTAAAAAGGCCAGCAGCGCCAGGCACCAGCGGCTCACGCCTGTAAATCCTAACTACTTGGGAGGCTTAGATAAAGAGGATCACAGCGTGAGGCCAGCCCAGGCAAATAGTTCACGAGACCTTTCTCAATAACCAGAGCAAAATGAACTGGAGGTGTGGCTCAAGCAGTAGAGCGCCTGCTTTACAAGCGTGAAGCCCTGAGTTCAAACCCCAGTCCCATCAGAAAAAAAGTCCACCAGAGCCAGACCACGGCAGCCAGGAAAGAGAGTGCTGTCTGCCAAGATCCTGCTGGTGTCCTGGTCAGTGAAGTGGTGACCAGCCTGGCTGCTGTGGCCACCAACTTCCTTCCTGCCCATGCACCTCTGGCCTGGCCTCAGTACCCAATGCAGCATGCTGGAAGTAGCCATCGGCTGGCTCACGGCCTGCTTTCCAGCCCCTGCTGACCCCACCAGGCTCCAGGATGTACTCATGTGCCCACCACCAGCTGGCCTCCTAGCCAGTGTCCCAGCTCCCACCACTGTTGTTCTGGGTCCCTCAGCCCAGGGGTGAGGGGAGAGCAAGGGACAGGACTGGGGGAGTAGGGTGGAATGGGAATTGATAGGAAGGGGACCATCTAAGCTTCAGGAAAGCCTAAAGGTCAGGTTTGTAGGGATTCCTAGGGCCAGATGGCCATTCCCTAGGGGACCTGTTAGGGGACACAGGGAAGGAAGGCAGTGAGGGATAGGAGAGGCTGGCCATGTGGTCACAGGGGTCCTGCCTGAGGATGACAGTCTGGGTGCTACCCCCTGTGCATCTTTAGCAGGGCCACATCAAGGTAAGTCCCCTACTGTCCCTCCCTCTCCCAACCCACTTAGCACTCACTGTTGGCCTACAGGACGCTGGAGGCTAGGCGAACAATGCCCAGTGTTCCCCACTTACTGGGCTCCTCGGTCACTTGCCCACCTCCACGGGTCCCTCAGTCCCTCTATCCCAAACCCCTGTTTTGGGCAAGGGGGGCTATCCCCTCAGCTTCTCCTGCTTCCCTAAACCAGCCCCTCCTCGGGGTCCCATCTGCGGACTCAGTGAGCTCCCAGGCACACTTGCAGCCCTTCACAGTGCTGCAGCCACTAGCCCAAACTCACTCCAGGAAGGAATGTCAGTGTGGGAAGAGAAGCTTCTGGGAGGGTGGATGGTGCAGAGCAGACCCCCTCCCACTGAGGGTCCCCCAGAGCAGCCACAGAAAGAGTGCTCTGGCCAGATGGATCTCGTCCACCAGGGCGTCCACAGCCCTTGGCCATCATGCCAGCAGGCAGGCCTCCCTGGACCCGCTGGGTTTCACAAGGGATTTCTCCCTCCCCAGCTCCAGTGGCCTGAGGCTGCTGGATCTGTTGGTAGAGACCCTTCCTCTCGAGCAGGCAGCTACCACCCACTCCGCAATGCTCAGCCTCCTAAAGTCAGCTCTGACCAGGTACTGACTGCCAAGACCTAGCTGTGACCCCCAAGTGGGGTCTAAAATTCCTTCAGCACCTCCTTGATGGCCCTGCAGGAAAGTTCATGGCTATTCACCCCAAATCTGGGCTCAGCTCAACCCTTTAGCTCAGCTTGCATCTCAGCTTAGAGGGATGCCAAACTGGGCTCAGGGCCTCAACTAGTGTCCTCTCTGAGTACTGTCCCTGTCCAGGGCTGGCTCCCCCAGGCAAAGGTTCCCAGGCTCTCAGGTGGAGCCTGTGAATAACTGACACAATGTGGAGCCTGTGCTCAGCTGTGCAGGGTCTTCCTGGTCCCACGGGGGCCACACTCCCTCCATACACATGTATGCATGCTTCTACCCTGATCCACTCCTCCCTCCCACAGTGGATAGACAACAACGCTGGGGCAAATGTCACCCTGCACAGCCTGCATTCTCAGGGGGCCCTGGGAAGAAGCCTTCAAGACAGGCCTCCTTCATCAGCTGACAGCAAACCTGTTCTCAAGCCCCTGCCCCTGTGTGAGGCCCAGGAGTCAGGCCGGGGTCTCAGCCTTGGATCCCAGAGATCACACAATGGGGGCTGTGTCTCAGAGCAGCAGCACGGAACAGAACAAGGCGGCAAGGCCTCTTTTCACCAGCCTCCGGGGCCTCAGTTTGCTCTTTTGGGTGCCTGGCAGAGCTTGCCTGGCTGGGGCTAGACTCCTTGGGAGCTAGGTCCCTACCAAGAAGGCCCTCAGGTTTTGGGGATGGCCAGTGGGAGCCAGAACAGTGGTCCCTCAGAGTCAGAGGCCCACTGCAGGGAACTGGGTCTGCCCCTGGGGCTGCTGCCTATACACAGGCTAGCACTCTGGGCCCACCCAGCTCTGCCTGAAGCCTGAATAATTGAATTAGCAGCACCCAGCCCACCTGGGAGACCATGTGCCCACTGCCAGGCCCAGGGCACCACTTTGAGGAACCCTGAACAGTCCGGGAGTCACCAGACAGGCATGTGGTCAGGGGCAGGGCCACCCTGTCATTCCCCAGTGGGCATGGGCGCAGAGCCCAGCCCGATGGATCACCTATGATCCTGCCTGGAAGGCAGGTGCCTTTTCAGCAGGCACACACCCACCTGACTGGCTTCACCCCAAGTCTAGCTGGCCTGGGGCTCAAGGATGCTCACTGGGGCAGGGCCCATCCCTGACAGCGGGCTGTCTTTGGCCATGTTGCCTCCTGCACCAGGTCAGACCAGTGCCAGGCTCCAGAGGGGAGCTCCTGGGAGCGACCCCTGCAGTGCCTGGGGTGGGGGGAACCGCCGGCAGGGCCAGGTGGAGAAGCTGCGTCCCCCACCCAGCCCCTCTGGCATGGGGAGGGGGCTGCAGGCAGTGCCCAACCCCCACCCACGCCTCCCGCGGGACCGGGCATGGGCAGAACCGCGGCGTCCCCACCGCACCCTGCGCGGCCAGGGAGGCGCGGCCCAGCCACGTTGCGCGGCGCCGCAGCCGCAGCCTTTGTTCCGGGCCTGCCGCCTCCCGCCCCCGCCCGCCGCCCGGGTCTCCGTCCCCTCGCTGTCCCTGTCCTACCTGGAGTAGAGGCGCCTGGCGGCTGGGCCCGGGAGCTCGTCGGCTGCGGGCGGGGCCGGGCTAGCCATGGGTCGGAGATGCCGCCGAGAGCCGGGAGCGCCGCCCGCGCCCTCCCGTCAGGTCCACCCGCCCGTCTGCCCGCTTGTCCGCCGGTCTGTCCGTCTGTCCGCCTGTCCGCACGTCCGCGCCCGCGGGAGGCGCCGAGGAAGTGATGTGCGCGGGGCGCCGCCGCCCCTCCCAACGCGGAGCCGTGATGTCACCGCCGCCCGCGCAACGGGGAGGGGAGGGGAGGGGAGGAAGGGGGGACGGACGCCCACCGGCTACTGCCCGCTGCTGGCCTCTGTCCCGCCCTCCGAGGGGTGGGCAGGAAGGTGGGGGAGGCGCAGCAGCGGGGGAAGGAAAGGGCCTTTGAGGTTGCGAATCACACAACGACCCTGGAAGGCCGGCAGTCCCCTGAGGGGTGTGCCCCCCCCCCCGCCCCGTCCATCCTAAGGTGGTGTGCAAGGGGGGCAGGCCTGGGCAGCGCTGGCTGTCCCTGGGGGCTTCTAGGAGCCTGCAGAGCCATTGGTGTCAGTGCAGCTCTGCTGTCCTCCTGCCCCCCCTTTACTGGGACCCCCCCTTGTGCTCTGGCTTGAGCTGTTTGAGGCCTCCTTGCCTTTGCTTGGCAGGACCCTGCCCACCTCACCGTGGTCCTCCTTCTCCCGTCCTCCTTTCTAACCCCTGCGGTTGTGTGCAGCCATGGGTAAGCCCCTCACATCCAGGGCTGCCTGGCAGGGCTGTGGGACCCTTGGGCTAGCCCCCACCTCCCTGGGGCCTTCAACTCAAGACATCATGCTGCCTGTTCCAACCTTGGTGTCCTGATCTGTGGAACTGGAGTATTTGGACAGCATGCAGGTAGAGCAGTGGGTACCCACCTGGGGTCCCAGGACTCTAGTGTTTTGCCCAGCCTCCTTTTCTATGAATTCTTGGAGCCTTGGGGGCCTGTTTCCTCTTCACCTACCCGTAGTTATGGATCACCTTAGGGCTTTCTCCCCAGCTAGCTGTGTGCACCAGCTGGGCACACCAGAGGCCTCAGGGCAGTCAGCCCAGCTGGGGTCTCATTTTCCAGCTCTGTGCTGCTCCCTACCCCCATCTGATCTCAATCCTTCTAGTGCAGTGAGGAGATCCCAAAGCCTAGAAAAATGTCTGTGACCCTCAGTGGGACAGGAACAGTCAGGGAGTAGGAAATGGTTACATCTTCAGGAGACTGACCTTGGACCCACCCTTCCCTGGAGAACTGCCCAAAGGTGGAGAAAATGCCAAGGCCACCCTAGCCAGACCCTTGCAGATGCAGCCCACAGCACAGTGGCTGCAGGCAAATGGAGAACGGCAACAAAAATAAACAGGAGATAAAAAAGGGTCTGTTGGCCCAGAGCTGGTTTGTTTTTCCTAGGGAAAAGAGGCGGCCCGCAATGAGAACCATCTGTGCCCAGAGTGAGGCAGCTCAGGCTTGCCGAGCTTCCCACACGCCTCCCCCAAAGACCACAGGAGCCAGGCAGGGCCTTGCTCCTGCTTGGCCAGGGCCCCATGGCTGAGCACCACCCTCATTTGCCACAGCCCCAGGCCTGCCCCCCTCCCCCCCACTGCCTCCTGGGGCAGAGAGTGATGGTTTTGGGCTGCAAGTGGCCTCCTTGTTGCCTCCAAAGGGTATTGTCCTACAGGCAGGAGCTGCTGTGGGCCTAAGCTCAGCCTCTTGCTACTGGCTTCAGGATGCATATAGAGGCCACACCAGCTCTACAAGCCCCCATGGGTCCCAGAGTTGGCTGGACCTGGTGCCAAAAAAAGCCCTGATAAGTGACATTACTGAGTGTGGGAGTCGGTGGGGGGGGGTCATGACCCACTGCAGGCTTGCTGGAACGAGTCTTGCCTCCTTCCTGAGGCAGGGAGGTGGGAGGCTGTGCCCCAGGGCTGAGAGAGTCTAGGTTTGTATCAGAGCTCTCAGGTAAGTGCTCTGAAGTGAGCTGGCTGAGGGAGCATTCTTTGTGATAGAGCTGGGCCCCACTGCTGTGTGACCTGGTGCAAGTAGCTTTCTCTCTCTGAGCCTCAGTTCTGTTCCCTGTGAATGGGGCCACCTGTGCTGCAGAAATGCTCAGTGAGGCTCAGTGGGACCTGCACAGTGCTTGTCATGGTGCCTGGCACAAAGAGCTTTGGTGTCATGGTGTCCTGGCAGTTGTGCCTAGTCTCACAGGGCTCCCCAGTCAGTCCTGGCTGGATTGGGGCTCATGCCCCCTGCACTGCACAGAGGGGTGTCTTCTCCCACAAGGAGCCCCTCCAGATGGAATGTATCAAAGGGAAGCACCAGGTGACAGGCCCAACACACATCACTCTCATGAAGAAGAGGGTTTCTGGGAGACTGGGGATGATGACAGGTCTGGGAGAGGAGGGGCCCCTGGGTCAACTCACCACCTCCTCCTGTGTCCTGCTCGTGCTGGACACCTCGGTCCCCCATTAATTCTACTCAGCCTGGCATGTATGTCCCTTCCCAGCCAGCCAGGGCTTGCTGCCGGTGCACACTTGGACACCTCCTTACAGTCCACTGTGAAGTCTCCCCAGTGGCCATGATGCCCAGCCTGATGGAGCACTCCCCTGGGGGTCCACGAGCACACCCCATCCATCTGTAAGGGGCCTGATTCCCAAGGGGTGTTAGAGGGAAGAAGAAAAATTTCCCATTCCGAGTGCATCTTTCTTGTCCCAACCAACAGTTCAGGGAGAGGTGCTGGCTGAGGGAGCCAGCCAGAGCCATGATGTAGAGTGCCAAGGGGTGAGTGTCAGCTCCAGTCATCACCAGCCACCTCCCCTGTGGTCACCTGCATGTGCCTGCCTGTGATCACTCAGTGCTCCATGGTATGCTCCCCTTTATCCTGTTTAATAGAGGAGGAGGCAGCATTGACTCGCTCAAGGTCACCTGCCTGGGCTGTGGGGAGCTGAGCTAAGCTTTGGTTTCCTAACCCTTTCCTAGACCTAGACCCAGACCTTACCCCTCCTGGACCTGTCAGCTGGACAAGCCTTATGGAGGATGCTAGTGGGATGATTGAGGGCCTCTGAGTCCAGGGCATGAGGGTGCATGGGCTCTGAAGAGGTGGACAGTGGAGGCTGCTGTCGGTCCCTGGATGAGGCCAGGCCAGGGAAGGCAGCCTGCTGCCCCAAGCCCTCCCAGAGCTAAAGCACCAGCATATGGGCCTCAGTGGGACATATGGCTCCCAGAAGGGTCTCCAGGGCGGAGGGTAGGTTGGGCCCTGGAGACCCTTCTGTGGAGGGCATATGTCCCACAGGGCCTCCTGTGGAGGGCATCCAGACCCTTTTACCTTTTTACACCCCTTTCCCAGCAAGATCGCTCCTGCAGGGTCCAGTGGGGCTGGGACCATTAGCAGAGGTACCAAACTGGGGAGCATGACTTCACACACACATACAGAGAGAGAGAGAGAGAGAGAGAGAGAGAATGCTTGGTTTTACCACTGCTTCCAAATAATCTTGTTAACCCAAGAAGGGCCTCATTTGTCCTCACAGAAGTGGGCCCAGAGCCCTTTAGGATGGTGTCACCCACTGCTGTTTCTTTTCTTGTGGAACCTCAGAGTCCCTGAAGAGTGGGGGCAGCCGTGAGTACATGGGTCCCCTAGGCAGGTCCCTCTAGGGAGCCTGGAAGGAAATGGTTTGTCCCACCTATGATGATCCTGGTGTCTGGCTGGGAGATGTGACACATTCGGGAAAGAGCTCCAGGCCCACGTGAGGCTGGACACCACCATCAGCACAGGACACCTGGCCATGCAGCATTCTTGAGGTGTTTGCTGGCAGCTGCAGGCTTTGTCACCCAGGTTATGACCCCGGAGCCTGAGGGAGCAGGCAGGGCAACACAGGAAACAGTCACTCACTCACTCATCTGTGGCAGAGCCTTGTCTTTGGCCTGCTGCCTGCCCATCTGTGCCCACAGGGCCTGGCAGATGAGTGACCTGTGAGTGCCAGGGACACACACACACACACACACACACACACACGCACACGCGCCAGGGAGAATGTCTGCAGGCTGCAGGCTCCTGAGTGTGCTAGCACCCCCAGTCTTGGGTGTGTGGTAGGAAAGAAAGTCTTTTAACAAGAGTAAAAGGCACAGAATTAGGAAGTGTGTTTGCTGCTAACAATGCAGCAGGTGCCTCCCTTCTGGGTCCCTGGATGACGGGGTGGAGACTCAGAACACTCTAGGGGAGAGATGCTGTACAGAGCGGGGGGAGGGGGGGTTTGTGTTCCTGCTCCTTCTCCTTGCTTTGAAGCCCCTGGTGGGTTCTCCTTCTGGTCTCCCAAAATCTCATCGTGTCACACTGGAACAGTAACATGACACATAGTAAGAGCTCATTAAATGTGACTGTGAAGAGGCCCAAACTGGCTGGCTAGAACACAAATATTCACCCACAGTTCTGGAGGCCAGAAGTCCCCAGACTAGGTGCCGGCAAGGCCATGCTCCCTCCAGAGGCTCTAAGGAGGGTCTCTGTACCAATCCCAGCTTCTTGGACTTGTGGCCACACCATTCCAACCTCCACCTCCATCTTCATGTGGCCGAGTCTCCTCTTCTGTCTCTTATAAGGACACTTGTCTTTGTGTGAAGGGCCCACCCTAATCTAGGGGATCTTACCTTGTGATCCTTAATTATGTCTGCAAAGGTCTTTCTTCCAAATAGGCCTCACCCGCAGTTTCAGGTGGATATAGCTTTTGGAGGTGCCATTCCTCCACTACACCCACTTTTCAGTACACTCACCTGCACTGGTCATTCCACAACTTGGATTATAAAGTGCCGTCATTTTGCGGCCTTCCTTTTTTAAAAAATTTTATTTAACCTTGAATTGTGGTTATTACTTATGCATATTTCTGTTTGTATGTGACTCCCCCCACCCCCGCCCCAAGGTTCTCTTTTTTTTCTTTTTTTTTTTTTTATTATTCATATGTGCATACAATGCTTGGGTCATTTCTTCCCCCTGCCCCCACCCCCTCCCTTACAACCCATCCCACCCCTCCCTCTCCCCCCCACCCCCTCAATACCCAGCAGAAACTATTTTGCCCTTATCTCTAATTTTGTTGTAGAGAGAGTATAAGCAATAATAGGAAGGAACAAGGGTTTTTGCTGGTTGAGATAAGGATAGCTATACAGGGCATTGACTCACATTGATTTCCTGTGCATGGGTGT